GTATTGATTGTACATTTTTAAGAAAGTGTTGCGCAAATATGATTTTTATATGTGTCTGTTTTCATATCATATCATATGATTGAATGTCCTACAATGCTTAAAACTTGTGTCCTACTTCTTAATCACCGTTTATTCGTTTTTCAGAATTTGTATTTAAATTTACTTCAATTAGGAATCATTGAGATGGGGACGTTATGTATCAACGAGTACCTACTTTTAACTATGGATACAATTTTTTTTAAGTGAATGTAGATTTGGCCTACTTTTACTTCGTAGTCTGCCCTTCTTGATTGACCATTCAATGCTGCCCAATTCCGTTTCACCTTGAGTAGTGTCATGTAATATTGACTACATAGTTCCAAGGAGCTTTTTTGCTGGTTTACAAAGGTCAAAGCTAGCTAATACCAGGCAAATATTTTCTTTCTTGGGGGGGAGGGGATTGGTCTCTTTGGACTTTGTAAGCTTACACAAATTATTTTTTAAGAAAATACTGACAAACTTGGCTTAACTAATTAAACATTTTAATTGTAGTTCTATATTATAATGAGTGATTTACCTACCTCAATCAGGTTATAATTAGGCGAGAATGCAGAAAAGAATAATTAGGTTTTTTAAATCTACTACAGGGTGACTGCCGGGAACCGGACGAATTTGCAACAGCTGTTACATTGTTGCTACACGTGCTAGGGAGATTGAGGTTATGTCATTGTTTTGAGTGAGCTTTACCATTTTAGTCACGATGGATCAGTGGTCAGTGCAGCATCGTGTTTTTGCATATGACACATTTATTAAAAATGGCGAATCCGTTATCAAAAACACAGCGTATCTTCCGACGCCACTTTAATATTGCGCGAAATGACTCGGTTCCAAGCCGGAATACATTGCTAAGATGGGTGCACAAGTTCAGAAAAACAGGAACAGTATTAAAGAAAAAGCCACCCGGTCCAGCAAGAACAGTGAGAACACCAGACAACATCGCCACAGTGAGAACTGCTTTGATGAGGAGCCCGAAGTTTTTTGAGGAAAGTGGAGTCACAGTGACAGTGAATTCTGCACACTATGTTCATATGTTGGAAACATATCTCAAGCCACAACTTCGGAGGTGAGGAATAAACGTGAAAAATGTTTACTTCCAACAAGATGGGGCCACAGCACATACTGCCGCTGCATCGATGTGAGTTGTGAAGAAGATGTTCCCTGGCAAGTTGATTTCACGTTTTGGTGACGTGCCGTGGCCGCCGAGGTCACCAGATTTGTCACCCTGTGACTATTTCTTATGGGGGTATTTGAAAGCTCGTGTCTATGTTCACAAACCACGAACATTATTACAGCTAAAAGATGCAATCACCGAAGAGGTGAATTTGATTGGGCAAGACATGTTGATGAGAGTGCGTAATGATTTTCTCCAGAGGTTGGAAACCTGTATCCAGGTTAACGGCCATCATATGCATGATATCATCTTTAAGAAATAAACCCAAACTAGGATAAAAGGTTCCATAAAACATATGTTTTTTTGAAATGGTATGTTTTCACCAATATATATTCAACAAATAAATAATTTTACTATATAAAATAAGGTTGTACTATTCATTTAAAAAACGTCCGGTTCCCGGCAGTCACCCTGTATAAGAAACAGTTACAACACACTTATCAGGAAACATATAGGAAAAGCTGAGTTGTACTTATTGACTATTTAAATGAAGATCTCTTTATGTACTACCAGTATTTTATAAAGTGTATTGCATTTTGAATGTATGCAAAAGTTAAATTCACTATCCATATGGCATCAAGAAACAAATCTTCATACAAACAAAATGCAATTAAATATCAGAACGAAACATACCATTAAATAATATTTTAATGTGGATTGCTTTTTCTAGCATGTAACCATACAAAAAAATACAAAAACATTAAAAAAATCATAATAAGGTAATATAAGTTGACAGGCTTAAATCCCCTAAAATAAATTTTGACATAGTTTTAAATCAACCTAAAAATAAATTTTATCAGTCTAGTTTTATAAGACTTGAACTAGGCCTATAACTTATTTCAGGGAGTCGACAGATTGTGTTGTACATCAAGTCACTTTGTTGCATCATAGTGTTTTTACACTAATTGTAATCTTCCATCGCCTCTATCTACCTGAGTACAGGATTGTGTAACCACAGCAATTTGTTCTCCGTTGACGTCATTGTAGGTGTTATCAAATTAGATTACAAATTACTAATCTATCAATCACCACTCAATCACAGAGTTGTTAGGGAAAATCTATTAATGTTTTTGGTTCTAGAGTTATCAGCTTTTCAATAGTTAAGCGACATGGTTCTCATTTCAGATACTCTGGGTTTTAAGATAATTTTTCTAATAATAATAGTCTTACACGGATAAAAAAAGGAAGTCTTGTACAACAAAATGTTGATATCTCTTAACCTAACTTGGAAATTTTCACTAAAATGTAAACTAGGGTACAATAAATATTTATTTAAAAAAATGTGTATTTACAATTAAATATTTTAAAATCAAAATCATGTTTATAAACTTTTTAATTATTTACAGTATAATAGAACATCTTTTATCTGATACACTTCTTCCTGATAAGATTGGCCTCTGGATCGTTTGAATTAACTAATGAAGATTTAAACTTCCGGGTTACTGTCAAAACAATCCCGTGTAGTTTGAACGACTTCAGCTGTTTCGTGCTGCGAATTGAGCATATCAACAGGTCAGAATGTCAGCTGATATTTACAAATTCCTCATGGTGAAATGTGTGCTAGAAGTAGACACCAGTCTGAAAGTGCCATTCAAAGTGGAGGTTTCATTGCAGAAAGAAAATAACCCTTCCACAGCAAACCTGCTCTCCATTTACCTGATTGGCTTTTCACTGAGATATTCCCTTAAGCTTGGACGTCCCAGGGTCGTACGATTGTGCGAGTTTATTAAGCTACGTAGAACAGTTTCCAAATGTAGCTTTTTCCAAGGACAGCATTGCCCATGACAGACATGCCTAAGTACGTTATTATAGTCTCCATTTCCCCTCCATTTCCTCCAATTCTCAGTGAACGTCAAAAATGAACACTCATGCGCTTCTCTGGTGTAATAAATACACATTCTTTAACAGTAAATTTTTAATGTCAAATCAGTTCACGATAAACAATGTTTTAGCCTAAACACAATAATCATCTTTAAGCGACCCTGCTCAGAAGTGTCTTCTCCGAAGAACTGTAGCCCAGCGAAGGACCTTGCTCTACAGGCGGTAACGTAGAGCTGGCCGTGTCCTAACATAGGTTTTGGAAGATACACTCCAACTTTGCCAATTGACTGTCATTGCAAATGCTGGGATAATAAGGAACACTAATGGGAGCACAGTGTCAGAAGGTCGCAAGTTAATTCTTTGAACCAGTACACGGAGTCCAGATGAAGCTCTCCAGCTCAATACCGCTAAGACTACCAATAATTTTTGTCCGGCAACGCTGTAGCATGTCTTGAAAAACATAGAAGAGTACTTAAGAAGTGCCATTAAAAAAGCAGTTAATAGTGAACAAAATAAAAAAAACTAACTTAAGCCATGTAATCTTAACACAAATATTATCTGTTTTCATTACAACATAAACATATACAAATATTTCCAGATGTTAAAAGGAATAGCTTGAACCTGTAAACAAAAAAGGTAAACATTGGAACTTTAAAAGCCACTGGGGCAGAGCCCAGGTGACCTTTTCAACTTTTAAGACCTTATATGACATCTACTCAATGAGATCTTCCCAATGAGCCGTAAACTAACAAAATCGATTGAGAAACCACAGAGGAGTTCTGTCTACAAATCATGCTTGCCTATTTTATATATAGATTTGTCACATTAATTCCCTATTAAATACGAGGCGAAGAATCGACTGCGATTTGTAGCTCCCCAGCAGTAAGTAAGTAAGTAATTCCCTATTAAAAAAAAAACAAAAAAAACATCAATGTTGGATTTATCAAGAGGTAAATTAAATTGTACCATCATACTTAAGCAATAGTAATCCAGGGGCTTCAACATGGAATTTATTTAGTACCTTATAGGTTGTTGATTTAATCTCTTTCCCAATCTATGAAATCACTCTTTCTACTCAGTGAGACAGCTGGCTATACTCATTGCATCAGCAACTAAGTAAAATGAATATTCCATTGCCATCAATTAGTGTTTTTGTTCTCACCTCTTGTTGCAGATGTTAACAAAAGAAAAAACAAACTTACATTGTGACGTAACACCATGTTTGTAAATCAGCTGGCTCAGAGGCAAGGTTAAACTGCATGATTTTTTTAGCAAAATAAACATTTTCTCTTTTATAGCTACTAATAAAAAAGAGCTTTATGCATATTTGCCCAGTGGACGTTGTTAAAATACTAACACAGACACAAAAACAAACTTATATAATGCGTATATACTGACCCATCTCTCTCGTACTGTTCACTAGAATGTCGGAAACTAGGCCCACTGGACACAAGAATATTCTAATTTGATGGTGAAAACTTAAAATGGGTTGAAACAATGTTAACCAATTATGTTACCTTTAGAACACTCGTTATTATAATATGTAATTTTTACTACATTAGGTAACATGCCAGATCATGTCTGGGTAGCGGAGTGGTTGTGGTGCTCGCTTTCATTTCTGAACGTTGATGGTTTGATTCCAAGGGGGATGGACCCAGATACCATTTCTCAAGGGGTTACCAATTAATCTTGTTATGTGGTGACAGTAGGGTAAAGCTGGAAAGTAACAGATAACATTATCATAATGTTAGATAACATATATGTGTTTGGAATCTTGTTACTTTCCAACTTCTTGCAACGCTCCTGTTTAAAGAAACAAGAAAAAAACATACAAAATACAAATAAAAATTCAACACAAATGTAAACTGGAGGTGCTACCAAATTAAGTCCAAACCTAACAGTTTGGTAGAATTCAAATTATATAATAATTTTGAGAAGTTCATTAAATTTTATTTCCCTATTTGCGCAGGTGCCTTCGGCTACTTTGAGGTGACTAAGCCTGACATCACCAAGTATTGCAAAGCAGCTCTGTTCTCTGAGGTGGGCAAGAGGACGAATATTGCGGTTAGGTTCTCCACAGTCGGGGGTGAAAGCGGCTCAGCTGACACTGTCAGGTATGCACAACCTTAAGAACTAGACATCATCCCCATGTTGAAGTTGTCGCCAGTTTAAGTGCATTCATGTCAGAGCTTTGATAATCGATACAAGTTGCGATCCTAGCAACACGTAGATAGGCCTAATAGCTGTGTAATGGGCCTGTTTAAGTTGGAGCTGCACTGTTATTTTTTTGGGTCCCGGCCATCGATGAGAGCAGCAATAATAGCTCAGTAGCTCAGTTCTTTTTCTCAGCTAGTATCAAGCTACATGGATGTTGACAATTTAATATGACAAGTTTATACGAGACCAGCCTTATGGGACAAGTATGATAAAAATCACCACAATAAATTTGTGTTAAACAACTTGTGGAGTGAAATTGCTCAGGAATTTAACACAGACATTGATAGGTTTGATATAATGTGCATAATAATTCACGTTTTCTACATCCTAGTAAAAAATCTTTTACTGCCTTTGATGTTAAAATTAAATCTTCTTCTTCAAAACCAATCATCACAAACTGGTTTTTAACAAAACTCAAACTCACAAATCAACCTTTCAGTAAGAGTGCCACGGTTCAGACATGAACAATCAACTTAACCAGAGCGCTACTCCCTACTAGCGTCTGTGCTCTCATCGTCTCTGTGATCATTTATCGCATCTCCGAATGCACCCTTTAAGCCACGAATTGATTGCGCTGATTTCAATTCCTGATCACTGTTCACAATTTGCCATTTTTTAATAGAGTAAAAATTATTGGACCACACATTTTTAAGATGTATCATCTTTAATGTCGTATATACAATCTCAGTTACAAAAACTGAGGAGGAAAATACATTTTCATTCTTTAGCACAAACTGTGAGTGGCTCAATAAACTAAATTCTTTTTGAATAAAAAATAGGCTATAGCTAGTCTTTCAAGATTGGATGTCTGCTTTGTATCCAATAGTCAATGGTAACTAACATTTGTAATAAATAAATAATATAGTGTATGGTAAATGGTTTATTTTGTAATAGAACTGAACTTAGAATTAGCAGAAGAATACTTAAGCACCATAATCACCATACTAACAGTGTAAAATCCTGAGTAAATTCAGCCAGCAGAAGTGCCTTGAATAGTCTTCTGTCAAAGCGTTTCTCACACGGGGTTCAATTGGATAATTTAAAAATTTACGAAAATATCTTTTGACTGATTCTCCTGTGTGGATCTGAAAGAGGAGCTCAAGGCAATGGCGCTGAGACAAAGCTATAGTAACTTAAAATAATTATTCAGAAAAATCTTTGGTCATACAAAAGAAAATGTTGAATGGAGAATCAAACATAATGGAGACTTAAAGGCAGTAGCGGCTGGTGTTCGTAGGTGGTGGGAGGGCTCTGCATATTTTTACATATAAACTAAAGCCTAACATCATACATGTTTGTCAAAGAATGCACACTATCACATTTATGTGAAAAATATTGTTATTTCTAACACTTCAGACTTTCCCCTTGAATTTAGATTCTCTCATCTTCAGCGGGAAGAGGCTTATCAGCTATAGACTGGAGCTACTAAATATACTCCATGTTGATGAAGATTGATTAAATACTCTGTAATCATCACTAAGCTTTTAGTGAACAATGTGTTCAATGATAATTTTACTCTCTGCAGGGATCCTCGTGGATTCGCTGTCAAGTTTTACACGGAGGAAGGCAACTGGGACCTCGTTGGTAACAATACCCCAATCTTCTTCATCAGAGACCCACTTCTGTTCCCCAGCTTCATCCACACCCAGAAGCGTAACCCAGCAACACATCTTAAGGTTGGTAACACAGGATATCAGTAATCACCTTGAGATTCTGTGAGCTATTTCTTGTTGTGAATTTCAACGCCATTGGCATGTGTTTATGGTACAAAGTCGGTCTTGTTGTTTAAAATAAACCTTTTTTGTTAGATACAGTCAGAGGTGCCCATCCCCCCTAAACCCAGAGGCGCAATCCCCCCCCCCAAGCCAAATGAGTAGTTCTCCCCCCCCCCCAATTTATGTTGTCGTTTATTTAAACCTACCCTCCCTCCACCAATTTATCTCTTTACCTCATAAAACGAGTATTTAAAGTATTTAGTAAACTTGAGGTACAAAAAACAAACTTGCTGATTGAGAATCAAAATTAAATGTTTAATAGGAAACGTCATTTAACAATACATATCTAACTAATCGTTGAATTAGAAGTTTTTCAATTTACAAAATTCCGAATTTGTATTGTCAGCCAACATGTGCTCAGTATTGCTATATACAACGTCTTCAACACGTTCAACAATATACTCGGTGAATTACTCTACTCCAACACAGTACTGTAACTGTACAATATATTAGGTGGCGTTAATGTTTACAGGGCTTAAGAATTCAAACAGCTTTAAGTGTATTAATAATACTTTGGCATAAAGTATCTTAATTGTTTAAAAATTATAGGCAGAGTCACGAAATAAGTCAGACTTGTTGCTCGCCACTTCCAGGCTGCCTTATACAAAAATCGCCGGGCAAAATGCCATGCCACCAGAACAAAAGGTTTTTGTGAAGAAGTAATCTTATAATTCATTTTTATAGCCCCAGGATTGCCTTTTATGACTAAAATGGTAGGAACGCATCTTGTCAGATAATCCGTTTGTACACAAAACACGTAAACTATAAGAGATAGGCCTATCAATTCACGCGTGTACATTGCCGTCAGCAGGACTAAACTGAAGTAAACTGAATCAGGTTATGACGGAAAGACGTGGTCTCTGGATTGTCGTCTGCGTTATCAAAAGCTGATATTGGACTAATTGTAGTGACGGAGGAAAGTATGTTGAAAATATAATGGGATTCATAATTGAGTTTTTCATTCAAAACCATTGACAATAATAACCAATTTATATGCTGGATATAAATGATGGTCTCGAAATTCTACAGTACTGCACAAAAGGAAATTTATTAAATACTTTGAGGAGTTTGAAATATATGAATACATAAAATTGGGGACAGAACAAAATTTTTGAGTGAAAACACTCAATTAATTATGAAACCCATTATATTTTCAATACTCTTCTCAGTCACTGCAATAGTCCAATATCAGCTGTTGAAAACGCAGACGACAATCCAGAGACCACGTCAGTCCGTCATAACCTGAACCCGATTCAGTTTACTTCCAGTCCAGTCTTGCCGACGGCAATGTACACGCGTGAATTGATAGGCCTATCTGTATTCGTTTCGTGTTTTGTGTTAAATGTTTGTAACGTATTCTGACGATTGACACCTCCAGAAGAGGATCTTTTGTAAATCCTGACTATGGTGGATTTAAAGAACCAACAAAACATATGTAGCATGTAAAATTCGACACTGGCATTGTCGAAAATTCGAAAAAGGATTGTCTGACAAGTGCTTTACCATTCTTAGAAGCAATCTTAATTACGAACGGCAACATGTTGTTGGTGTTGATAGTGAGCTACTTTTAGTGAGAAACACTTTTTCGGACTGCTTGTACAAAATTATACAGCCATTATGACAGCTAGCAAAAATTAAAAATCCCCCCCAAAATGCCTTAAAAAAAGTCCCCCCCAAAAATTCCTGTGGCGCAAACGCGCCACAGTACCCCCCCTCTGGGCACCCCTGGATACAGTAGGACAGTTATACACTTTGTGGACTAAGGGGGATTGAACTATGGAAATATGGGGAGTCTAGGACATTAAATAGATAGAATATTAAAAAAAAAACAAATTTAAATGTATAGTATAAAACTGAACAAAAATAAACAAACGTATCAACTAACATCTCTACAGTGCATTCCTTGGCTTCTTAACCCTTTTAGTGCTAAAGCGTCGCTGACAGTGACATGATGAAAAGTGCTAGAGGATTTTGACCAAATAAGCAAGCTTTTAGAAAAAAACTCTTATCTCCCTTATTTATTTATATTTTTTAACAGTTTTTTTTTGTTTTTTTACAAAAATGAATGCACTAAACAATATTGCTTCATCTGTTACATTTTAGGTTCACCAAAAAAATGTATTTTACAAAATAATAAAATCTCATTTTACGAAGAAAAAAAAAATAGTTTGAAATGAAATAAGTATTGTAGGATTTTTTTTAAATGGTCTTATGTTTTACCACTGTAAAAAGAATACTATTGTGATCATTTTGATAAAAAAATTATGCATTTACACATCATACAATGTTTTTTAGAACATAAAACAAATGTCATGACATTTTACGGAAAACCCGAAGCACCATCAAAATGCTTTATAACTACACCATTTGTCAATATAGTTGAATAATGTGACTTTATTTATCACATAACTAAATGTGGTAAAGGATTTTAGTAATTTTGTTAGTGATATAGGTGTATTGTCATGAAAAGATCTATGATGAAATGATAAATTTGATTTACCGACATTTTATTTTCTAAGTTTTACATGAAATAAAACTAGTTAGATAATGTACCAATATTTTTATTTTGCTTTTATTACAAAAAGCATTATTTCATGAATATTTTGGTGAAAAAATTGTCACCCTATGTGTCTAAACTTTTTTTTATAAAAAAAAACACACAAAGTCGTAATTGGCGCATATTTACATCTTATCTTACTAATATTATAAATGTGAAAGTTTGTGTGTTTGTTTGTTTGTTTGTTTGTTTGTTTGAAGTTCAATCACGCATTAACTACTGGACGGATTGGGCTGAAATTTTGCATGATGATACCTCATATTCCCGATTAACATATAGGCATATTCTTATCTCAAAAACCCTTTCGGGCTCCGCCCCAGTGGCTCTGTAGTTCCCCATGTTAACCTTATGAGTATTCATATTTGAAGGGAATTAAAGAATTTAGTCAGCTGTTTCAACTAAAAAAGTTGGTTCTATGATATGGAAAGTATTAAAAAGTTATGAGATTTACCAACAGGGTGCAGCACTATTATTTTTTTGCATTTATGAAAACAGCTTATTTGAACTAAGTAGCAACAAAAAACAGTGATTGGCAATGAGAACTAACTGTCAAAGTAGGATTGTTTACTGTTATGTTTATGTTTTTAATTGCATGAATAATTTGTGATGTTTTGCAAAGTTTTAATTATTTATTTTTCTCTATTGTTTAGGTGCAGTGGTAGAACATTATGGCTATGGTAGATGTGTAATACTATAGTATAGCGTAAATTTTATTATAGTAAACAGTTTTGTTCAAATGTGTCCTACCCCATTGCAAAAGCTAAGTTAGAGTATAACACTGCAATAAACATTTTGCACTTATATGCCAACCCCGTACGAAGGACGGGTACTCAGCTAGTAATTACATATTGGTACAAATACAGATATAATTCATTGCTAAGGGGGGTATTGTGATTGACAACTTAGCAAAGACAGGCTAATAAACTAAAAAAAAAAAAAACAACTAAATATTAGAAGAAAAAATCTTACCATTTTGAGTAAGCCAGGTCATTTCAGTTTCCATGGTAACGGAGGGTCAAATTATCCATGTCTAAAAGTTGTCTTATCCTATGCAACTAAAAATGTATTTACATATTTACAAGTCTTCACTTAGTTCATTAGTCTTTTATGTTTATCAACACCTATGGTGCTGGATGCACTCTGGATTTAGTCCTCTGTCACAGCGCACACACACAAATGCTGATCGGTGTTTGCTATTCTCAGTGCTGCATACCTTGCAGATCCGCAATTTCCTTCCTGGTAACTTTTTTACCCCAAAAAGGTTAGCAGGTCCACCTTGAGGTTGTGGTTGAGCAGGTAGGGTTTGTTGTTTGGTAAGGATCCATTCCTTACCAAGGTCGTGTACCAATGACTGCATGAATTTGATATGGGTCATAGGCTTTACGTTGTTCTGTTTGACATTTTCCTTGTATAATATATATGCGTTCAAAATCATGCGCGAGAATAGACTAAAAACTACTTTCTTCCAAACTTTAACAGTCCTACGCTCATCCATATATGCATACACCATCATGTCAGAGATATCTATTCCCCCCATATATTTATTGTATTCCAAAATGACATCTGGCTTGTTGACAACTTCTTCCCCTACCTGCCTCCTAACTCTACGCCTGACTTCACTGGTTGTTGCCTGAGATGCAGTGGAAATCAACAATACCTGTTTTTTTTTTGTTTTTTATCTCTAAACCCACACAAAAGAAGAAACCCTTTTTTGAAAAATCTCGTAACACCGACACCAAATTTTGATTTTACTGCGTCAGGTAGGCCCTTACGATTGGATCGAATGGTTGCGGTGTAGTATGTTCCAAGCTCATACAATCGAGATGCAAGGGGGATGGAAGCAAAAAAGTTATCTGTAAAGACATGAAACCCTTTATTTAGGTAATTACCTAAGGTGAGAAGTTTTTTTACTACAACAAATCCTTGGCCGAATTCCTTTTGCTCCTGTTTTTCTTCAGATGGGACACGTGCACCTTTATATACAAAAAAACCCAACACATAATTTGTTACGGAGTCACACAACATCCACACCTTCACTCCCCATCTGTGATGTTGTTTTTTAGGTAAGTACTGTTGTAATACTGTATGTGACTTAGTTCCGATGAGAGACTCGTCAACCGAAAGCTGCTCATGTGGAGTATAATAGTGGCGAAATAAGACGTTTGCGTGGTCTACAAGAGGCTGGAACTTTGCACATGGATCAGGTCTTCTTCGGGCAATGACATCGTTGTTCACCAGATGGAAAAACCGTAACAACAGTTGAAACCTATCTCTTGTAAACATTTGTGGAAACCACGGTGTAGCCATTCCGGGGATAGTGGACCAGTAGGAGTATATTGTTGGCTTTCTAATTATGCCCATATTGAAAATGCAAGCAATAAAACCTTTGATCTCTGGAACGCAAGTCGGTAACCACTTCTTGGTTCTAGAGTTATCACTGAACTCAGAACGCTCCAAACATTGTGATGCATATCTATTTGTTTCTCTAACTATGCTGTTTAGAAGCAAAGTTGTGAAAAACAAATTGAAATATGAAACTGGGGGGGAATCTGGTGGTGGCATATGCTTTGGTCCTGGAAGTTCATGGTATGTTACTGGACGAAGTGGGAAATCAACATCAGGTCCAATTTCTTCCAAAATGTCTCCATCCGGTGCATTACCTGGAATTGGGTTTTCATACGCAATAGGGTCTAGCTGTATGGGCGGGTTCACTATTTGGTTAGGTTCATCTAGGCCTACCATGGCAATAGGGTCTGGCTGTATGGGCGGGTTCACAATTAGGTTAGGTTCATCTAGGCCTACCATGGCAATAGTGTCTGGATATGCGGTCGGGTTCAATATTTCGTCAGGTTCATCTACCATCTCCTCCTCAAAAGTGGTGGATTGAACATTCCTAATCGGACTTATAGGAGGAGAATGGTGAGGATTACGTCTACGCTTGGAAATAATTTTCTCTAACCTGGATGGTTTTCGCTTTTTGGGCGTTGACGACACAAATTCTTGTGTAGGCCCACTGTCGATGGATTCGTCTGCACTGTCGTCCTCAGAAGATGGTATATAATCCATGTCTTCGTCGGTATCGTCAGCTTCACTTGGCGAATCCGGTTCATCTTCATCTGTCGTAGGTACGTCGTCATCCTCCTCTTCAAAATCGGAAATATTCTGTGTCAATTGGTCACTAAAAGACTGGTCAATTGTTAGTGTCCCAGTGTCATTTGAAGAGATATCACTGATCAAGGCAAAGTCTCCGGCAAAGTTATCACGATCCATTGTTTTGAAAAAGTTCACCAATGATCCACATTACAACAACTCGTTTTATAAATAGGCCTAACTCGCAAAACTACACAATAAAATATACGAAACTAAAAAAAGAGCACAAACTAACTAGAAAACAAAACTTTATTCACAAATAAGTAAATAACTTTGTTTCAAAACAAACAGCGCAAAACGTAATGTTATCCGTCGTCAGTCAAAGCGTCACTGCGCACAAAGAAACAAAGAATTGAAATGTAAACAGCTGACTGCTAGCGACAGTAAAAGAGCGAAATGAACCGGCGATCGATAATTTGAAGCTTTTGGAACATACTGACGCATTAACCAGCCAATGCATCCATGGCAACAATGCGTACTATACGAAATACGAATAGTCGCTGTGAGCGACGCTCGCACTTTAGTGTAAAAATACATCGTCGCTGGCAGCGACGCTGTAGCACCAAAAGGGTTAATGTTTAAAAAAAATTGTAATATTCAACTGCTTTTTCACTTTTGATGTTTAAAATGCAAATTAATGGGATAGTTAAAGTATTGAGTTTTAGTGTGCATGAAAACAATAAGAAGGCTCTAGGTACTGACCTAATGAAATTAAATAAATCAATCTTTTAAATTTTCAGTTTTTCCTCAAAATTTAAAGTTTGCAGAAGTAAAACCTCTGTTTAAGAAAGGACAAAAAGAAAATCCTAATAATTATCGTCCTATTTCAGTTCTTCCTTCTTTTTCAAAAATCTTTGAAAAGATAGCACTAAATCAAATTTTTACATTTTTAGACGTACACTCAGTTTTGGTCGCTGAGCAATTTGGATTTCGAAAAGGTCACAGTACAGTAGGGGCTCTAAACGAACTTGTTAACGAAGTATCTTGGGCTCTGGATGGGTCACAGAGTACCATGGGGGTCTTCTGTGACCTTTCCAAGGCCTTTGATTGTGTTAACCATAGCATACTTTTAAAAAAGCTTGATGTGTACAAATTCTCAAAGCAATCAATTACATGGATTAAATCATACCTAGAAAACCGGTTCCAAAGAACTGTAATTTTGAAAAATTATTTAGTATCTAAGTCTCCTTACGAGAACATTAAAATGGGTGTCCCACAAGGGTCTATCTTAGGACCTTTGCTCTTTTTACTATATATAAATGATTTACCTAGGAATGTTTCAACAAAAATCATTCTATATGCAGATGACACAACAGCAATTATTAAAGCTAGGTCCCATTTTGAATTGGAGCATAAAATTAATCAAACTTTCTATGAATTGGCAAGCTGGTTTGAAGTTAATGGACTAAAACTTAATCAAGATAAAACCCAACTATTAAATTTTTGTTCCGCACAGTCAAAAGAAGGTTACAGTTCAGAAATTATCTTTCAGGACCAGTTGATACCACTCAGTGGCAGCGCAAATTTCCTTGGTTTGGAACTGGATATTAATTTTTCTTGGAGTAATTGTATTGATAATATTATTAGTAAATTAAATTCAGCCTGTTATCAAATGCTAGTACTACGTAATTATATTGACCTCAAAACTAGAATTGATATCTACTATGCTTTCTTTTTTTCAATTATTAACTATGGGATTGAGTTCTGGGGATTATCATGTGATTCAGTTAAAGTTTTTAAAGTACAGAAAAGGTTTTTAAGAATAATGACTTTCTCATATTTTAGGAAATCTTGTAAATCGCTGTTCAGGGAATTAAATATCTTAACTGTTCCAAATTTATACATATTCAAAACCTTAGTAATGGTACAATCAAACTATGAAAATTTATTAAATGATAATTTTGACCATAGATACAACACAAGGTTTAAAAATAATTTTCAATTACCGATCCATCGTCTGCGTCTCATTGAAAAGACACCAACATACATGGGGAAAAAACTGTACAATAAGTTACCACTAGGTTTAAAAAATATAGCCAATACAATGTCATTTAAAAAGAATCTATCGAAATTTTTAATAGAAAAAAACTACTACCATATTAGTGAGTATTTGTTGTAAACTATGTTTAAATCAAAGTCAGTATTTTTATTTTTATTGTATTTAATTTTTTAACTATAGAATGTAAGATGATCAACAATGTATTTATTATAATTTTGACAATGTCACCTGTTTTGTAGCTAAGCTATGTATAAACGTTTTGTGACAATAAAGTTTGATTTGATTTGATTTGATTTGACCTGGGTGAACCCGTCATTGGCCGTTGCCAACATGTTACATCATCACAGCATGTGTCGAACTATCCAGGTTCTTCTGTAGAATTAATAGTTGAATACCAAATGAAAATTGACATCAGGGTCCAGAATCAACCTCACATGGGGTCGAACCATCTACCGTCACTAAAAATAAGTTTTACTTTTCGTCTACAGCTGAATGAGCTGTAACCTGCTTTACAGCCGTTTCGGCATTAACATGACATCTTCAGCTTAAGCAGCGTCATCACAGTAGAAACACATAACAAGAACACATTTTACAAATTACAAAAATACGAAAATAAAATTTTTAAATCCTTCGTCAGGTTTCTGCTGTCTAGACAGATTGTTAATAAGAAGGGTTTCAAATGTCATTATTGACTCTGGAGTTATTAAGTAATGCTTTGGTGCTATTTGCCCTCTTTAGAAACATATAGGCCTACTGCGGGAACACTTGTCGTACTTCATCAGAACTAGACTGAGTTTGCCTATGCTCTTGTGCCTATGGCTCACTTAATTTCTGGGAATTTATATTACCCTACATTGAGGATGATTATTTTTTACTTTTATAGTAAAAGTTAATTTATTACAAATTAAAAAAAAAGAATTTTTGTGCAGGATCCAGACATGTTCTGGGATTTCATCACTCTGCGTCCTGAGACGACCCATCAGGTAATGTTCCTGTTCTCTGACCGAGGTATTCCCGATGGCTACCGACACATGAACGGTTATGGCTCTCACACGTTCAAACTTGTCAACGAAGCCGGTGAGCCTGTCTACTGCAAATTCCATTATAAGGTTAGTTTACAATTGTGTTCAGTATACGCTATGTTATGTATGCTATGTGTTTAAAGCATTGGCGGCAATTGACCACAAAAAGTAGGGGGGCACCTGGAAAGCATGGGGTTATATTTTTCATAAACTTTATATCTTTATATTCTCATAAAAGTGGGGGATTGAAGTAAGGGAAGTGATAGATTTACTGACACTTTATCAAAACTTGTTTATCCTCTTTCCAGAAATAAGCATTTTAAATTACAAAAATGTTGTTGCATGTATACAAAAGAGGGTTGCAAGATTTCTGTGTGATACTGCCTGAAAATTTACAAGTTGCCAAAGACCAAAAATACTGTGTAATGAAATATACTGATCATAAAATATTACTATTAAAGTATTAACTTGAAATTTCTGGATCGTTTGTAAATGAATCCTTGGGTGTACTTTTGCTGTATGGTAATTTCTATAGTACTGAACAAGCTATGGCGAACAAAGCTAAGCTGGGCATTTTCTACCGATGCGGCGGCCAGTCATTATTATTACTGCCACTCGACTGGATTCAAACTAAAGTGATCGGTTAAAACTCTATTACCACATTAATAAAGTTACATCAACCTGATTCATTTCTCCGAGAATCGTCTTAGGAAAGAGCTAACCATCTTCTACTCGTCAGAGGAGCATGTGCATGTTTGATTTTTTTTAAATTAGCTTTTCGTTAGGAGTGTGGCGATGACTTAGTGTTGGGGCCGTCGACTCCCCTCACTTCCGAGCCAGTGAGTGCATGTTTCTGTGTGTGGTTCAAGAGTGTGTGGTAGTGGTGGGGCCGTCGACTCCCCTCACTTCTGTGCATTACTTTTTAATATTTATTAATATTTATGGTCTATCTTGTTGTTACCTTTATTGTTAAGTTTTCTTTTATTTTCTTCAGAGTTTACCGTACCTTTTGTACATTGTTCTCTTCTGTAAATTTGCTGTTTTTGCCGCCACACTGTGTATTTATTTTGTAGTGTTTCATAATTTTGGGTTTGCTTATATTTAGTCTCTACTTCGTTAATATTTATTGTATTATTGTTCCTGCTTGTTAACTTGTCTTTATTGCCACTTGCTGTGATATTTATCATATATTTATTTTCTCAACTCTGTTTTGTTAATTGAGTGTAAGTATAGCAGATAGTTGTAATGGTCGCATCTATTATTACGTCATCTTTTTTTGGCCATCTGTACAGTATATAATTGCAATGTTAAATGTAAAATGGTGTTTGCCGTATACAAAATAAAATAAAATAAATAAATAAATAAACTGTGTCCCAATCGCTTTATTTGACTTGGAAATATATTTTCCGGCCAATAAAGAGGTCTAAGTTTTATGTTAAAATCTGATAAAAAATGCACTGATATTACAGACGGACCAAGGCATCAAGAACCTAGACGTAGACAAGGCGGGGCAGCTAGCTAGCAGTGACCCTGACTATTCTATCAGAGACTTGTACAATGCCATCGCTCGTGGAGACTTCCCTTCATGGACGTTCCACGTGCAGATCATGACGTTCCAACAGGCCGAGAAATACAAGTGGAATCCCTTCGACCTAACAAAGGTACAAAATCTACCAGACTCGATTTTAAATTAGAGTATTGGTACTGCAAAGTTTTATCATAGACTTTTGGATGTTAAAGCTAACACCCACCCATATAGACCAGCTGTAGCCTCAGGATCACTGAATACAAGCTAATGATTTAAGTTACCTTGCTCCAATGATATTTTGTTGTAGTAAACTGAAGGTGGCTCCACTGGCAACAGTCTGCAGCATCATTCATATTACTGGAGAACGAAGTGTCACAAAGAATTGGAACCTGTCATATTTTTGCACCACACTTAGCTGTCCTAAGGTGGCACTACTAGCTGTAGAAGGTAGCACCGCGTCAATCTCAGTCTCAACTGCCCAGCATCTTTTAATTGATTGTATCCATCATTTATCCTTACAAAATTATGTAATATGTAGCATATTACGCATGCACTGCAGATTAGGTTCGTCTTCTGTTGCTTGTGGAGCCATCCAAGTGTTGTGTGTACCGTCCAAAAATTACAGTGCTATACAGTTAGTACCGGTATACTACTGTCAGGGGAGCCGTAGCCTTAACCTCAAACAGGTAGAACATTGTAGTAACATTATGACTTAAGTGTGATATAATACTAATCTCTTGTAGACATCCTGTATTTAGGGAGACCTGAATTATTATGATACCTGTTGTAGGTGTGGCCCCACAGTGACTTCCCACTGATAGAGGTGGGTAAACTAGTGCTGGATCGCAACCCAGGGAACTACTTTGTAGACGTGGAGCAAGTTGCGTTCAGCCCTGCCCATCTCGTGCCTGGCATTGAACCCAGCCCTGACAAGATGTTACAGGTAAACAGTCGAGTTTGTTTGCTTAATGTACAATCGAGTACTTTTGTTTGTTGTGAAAATATTTAAAAAGTGTCTGGGAAGATGATAATACCAAGGTAAATTTTCTGATGAACAAATCCAGAAGGGGTAAAGTGCTGTTAAAAAAAACCTTTTGTGTTGAGCCTTTTGTCTGATGTCGTAGTATACATTCTGGCGATTAAATTAAGTTGGTGTAAATACTTCACTAAAGTCAATCCATTAAGTTGGGCGTCTGATTTTAGTCTTCTCCTGCTGTCAAATTAAGGACATAAAACAGTTTACAATCCTAAATTACAACTCTTCATTTACCATGCATTTTTAGGGTCGTCTGTTCTCCTACACCGACACCCACCGCCACCGCCTTGGCCCTAACTACCAGCAGCTACCTGTCAACTGTCCCTACAAGGTTAGCAAGGCCAACAACATGCGAGACGGACCAATGTGCTTCGGCGACAACCAGGCCGGCGCACCCAACTACTTCCCTAACAGCTTCAACGGACAATCTCCCGAACCTACCCGCGGAAACTACAGCAAATTCTCTGCCTCTGGCGATGTCGCTAGGTACGTTGTTGGTCAATTGATTTAGGCCTATTGAGTTTTGGTAGACAATGTCACTGGTTGAATTAGTCACCTGTGGACTTTTTAAAAATGCTTCTGAACCTGTTAAACGTCAGTTGCTTGACGAACATCAATCTTATCTATGAGCTCTTCTTGAGGCAGGTGTCTGTTACTTGCCTCAGTTTCAAGAGCGCGCCTCGTTTAGAGATGTGCAGCCATAAAGTAAATTACGTCAATTGATTCTCCAATGGTAAACAAAACAAACATTATATGGTAAACAACTACAAACAATATTTATTGTCGGGACCACGTAAGTTTGCAGTTGGTGGCAGCCAATCACAAGACAAGGCTAGTGCGACATTGCCACATCGCCCGTTGACAACACTAATTAAAATATACTAAGCAATATTTTCAAATCAGCTGGTATTATTAGATTTGGCAACACCGCACGGTTCTCATTGGTTCATTCAAAACCTAAAAATAATTAATTTCAAAACCTAAATATGGTAATTAGGCTCAGTAGGGGCTAGCCCATAAGGACTCTCGGACACCGCCCTCCCAACAATACAGAAATCTATATTTTTTTTATTTATGTAATAAAAAAATAATATGTCGTAATTAAAATAATTAAATTACAATTACTTACGACTACTTAATCAATATGATAATAATATGAAATGAAATAGTTTTAAATTTTGAATCCAGTAATGACTGTTTTTCGATATAGTCGCTTTCATAATGTGGATTGCGGACGGCGGCAACCTCCGTCCCAAACTCAATGCATGTAGTCTTATGGTAGAAACACCTAACAGCGCTGAGGGTGCCGTGACGTCATTCCAATGCTTTACAATAGGGACTCTGGGGCAGAGTCCAAAGCTGCGCGCGCATCCATAAATCAGGGCAGCCACCCTAAACTGGATAATTCTGCATCACACACGATTAGGATAGGAAGAACCATGTTGGCAGCGCTGGAGCCATCATCCACACTGTCACTACCATAAACATAAACTAACCTCACTTCTTTCCATGTCCATGACCACAGTTCAGTTATAGTTTAGTGCCAAACGACCTGTTGTTTTGTGATCAATAGTGTTTTGTGTTTTTTTACTTTTTCCAGTAGATTTTTAAGGTCTGAAATGCCGTCTACAGTCCATGCTCTATCTTGAACCCCCATGACCAAACAAGTGTAGCAGAAAAATGAATTTTTAATTGAACAACCACATAGCCAATCTGCATGATTGTACATATGTGGCAAACATTTTCGTGTGAAGCTATTCTTATTCTTTGAACTGTTTTGAATTTGGTTTATGTTCATGAAAGGTCTAGGAGGTCCTAATTTTTTCAAAGAAATTCTGTGGTCAATATTTTTGATCCCTTCATTGATAATCAGGCTAACTTCGTTAGTGACGTTAGCCGTCGACGACAACGAAATACCGCCGTCCATTATTATTTAGATTTAGGCCTTCAACCCACGGCAAATTTACCCGTAATAACTTATTAAGACTAATAATAAGTAACTATAACTAAAATTGTCCGAGTCACTTTACCTATGGTTAGTTTACTTAGTTTTCGGGTTGATTAGGTTAGCCTATACTAAAACTACAGACGTAACTTATTGACTCAAAAATACCAACTAACTAACTCATCAATTAAGTATAACTATTAATAATTTCTACTTAGCTCTTTCAATTTATTAAATATTTAAATAAAAAATTTAATTTAATTAATTTAATTTAATTTAATTTAGTTAAATATTTAATTAATTATTATCAATTTATTAAATATTTTATTAAATAAATTGGTAAAAACTATTTAAAAAATATACTTTACTTTACTCTACTTATGTCTATTTGCTCATGCATGACAAACAACAGGTGAAATGGGAGTTTTTGGACTATTATTGGACACAGTTTTAGTTTTAGGCGTTAAAATTGCTTTAGAAAGTCACCAAACGGCTTTAAAAATTTAAATTTTTTTCCGGTGGAGGACCCCCCTCTTCTGTAGGGGGGGTCCTCCACACCCCCCCAACCCCCCGGAGCCCCCCCCTAGACAAGGTCCTAGAGCCGCAACTGATTAGGCTCCTCCCTCAACCGCAAACTTTCGTCGTCCCGACAATAGTAATATATTGGTTACAATAGAATAGTTATGTTGATGGTTGTAGTGATTGTTAGTCCTTTAGTCGGTAGTATAAAATAAATAAGGACTTGTACAGATTTTTAAATTTTAAGTTAGCTTAAGAGTATGGTGTAAAATTTTGTATATCACTTGTCCAAAATATGTTTACCGGACTCGTATGGTAATCCCGCACTCGACTACGTCTCACAAAGGAATGACCATAGTCGTCCGGTAAACACCTATTTTTAGAACTAGTAATGTAACATACCATTATGGCTTGTTACTCATTTACTGTTATTTCCACAGGTATAACAGTGATGATGAAGACAACTTCAGTCAGGCTACGTTGTTCTGGCAGAAGACGCTGACTGCAGAACAACGCACAAGAATGGTCAACAACATTGTGGATAACTTGCAAGCGGCTTCAACATTCATTCAGGTACGTAATCACTCATCAGTAAGGTAAAGGAAACTGTCTATTGTCTATTGTCTTGTCTAAGCTGTCTCTGATATGATTTCAAAGAAAGTCAGTCATATTTTTCAGCTTGTTCTAGTCACAACTGGGTTTCTTCAAGGTTCAAGGCTTTTGTAAGTTGATCAATGAGGTGGAGCAGTGATGGAGATAAATGGACAGCCAGGAAAGCATCTCAAAATCATTGTTAAGGTTTGCTTCGTTTCTGGAGGTCGAGAAAAATCTCCTCAATTGCAGTTACACACCTCGTTCAGGTTGTAATGGAGTGACAAAGGTAGTGCCATTTGGAGCTTTTGGACAAATAAATGGAGGTTAGGCTGTAGTACAATCGTATTTTTGATGCTGAAATAGACAATCTGTCTATATGGACCAGCTGTTGTTAATGTTTCATTCAAACAGAACATTTTTGAATGGGGCGGCTCATGGTTTTCTTCGTGATGCACAGCTAAACCCTTTTCAGACTACATTTTTTAATTAAAAAAAACTTAAATTTAAAACAATTTTAGTGTGAAATTTTAATAACAGTAAGGCATGATAAAAAAACTATCTACGTAATTTTTTCTGCATATACTAAAGTTTTCATATAGGCTCATAACGTTTTTTCAGTTAAAGTAGGTGTTTAGAGTAGTTAAATTAATAAGACACTTCGCCATTATCAACAAATCCTCTTCCAAGAAAAGACTACTAACAGATCTGCAGGTTGGAAATTTTGTCTGCTCTTAATTTAAAATCATTTTACTTTTCAGGACCGAGCTATCAAGAACTTCAGCCAAGTTGATGCAGGGTTCGGGCAACGTTTGGCTGACGGACTGCGCAAAGGAAAAGTCAGCAAACTGTAAACATTACGAAATTTTACCATTTGACTGTTTGTATTTTGTTCATATCTCTGTTAGTATTTATATGTACTTTCACTTGATATATCTGTTATAAATATGTTTATAAAATCTTTGTCCATTGCTCTGGTAAAACAATTGTGGTGTTGGGATTTAGGTAAGATTATTTGAAATTCCATAATTTATTATTGCCTATTTAGAGTATATTCCATTTAACATGGTTGAATACTACTATACATTTTTAAGCTATTATATCTGAGAACCTGAATGCATTACTGTATTAATAGCTTATATTGGTTATGTTGTGAGCTCCAAGGATGTTTATTATATATAACTGTTTTTTTGTCAGTTAGGTAGGATAAACTATCTTGAAAAGTAATGTTACCAAGAAATGGCAGTTTTCATAGAAATTACCAGCTACAAGTTCTCAGTGTAGGTACTTTTCCCAAGAATTGGTGGTACCAAAAATTCCCTTCAGGTACTAATGCATCACTATTTTTTTTTAACCGTTTTAATGTAATTTTAACTCCGTTTGTTATTGCAACTTCCCATGATTGTTTAGCCAGCAAAACACAAAGTTCAAAACATTTCCATTTAATTTTGAAATTTATTTTTTTCTGTTAGTAAGTATATATACCGTGTGTATATTTTGTTGTGGTTTTAATTATGTTTTTGTTTTTGTTAAGGTTACCAAATCATTATCTATGTCCAATATTGTAGGTTGAGTATGGTGCCTTTTTCTGTAACTATTGAGTCTGTTTTGATGTATTAAATATATGTGTTGTATCTTTGACTAGGTTGTATTTAACTGAATAAATGTAATCTTAATCTATTCCAGTTGTGATTTTCTTTTATTTATTTACCTTGAATGCCAATGCTTGACAAACATTTACAATAAAGTTCCCTATCTGTGGTTGAGATTTTAATGTCAGGCAATAAGTTGTGTATGATTTAAGGCTGAATGAGGGAGAAGGTTTTTATTTCTGTGGTATTTAGGCTCACTGTAGCCGTTTTTTACCCTTATTTCACATTTTATTTTTAGAAGTAAAAAGTTCATAAATTCCTACTCATAAATATGCAGGGTGACCCCTTCGAAAAAAATTTGCTGGTGACCATATTGTCTAAATATCGACAATGTATGGGGGTTTTTCGATTGGATTGCCAGTGATTTTGATATCGCCCGCCGACTTCCTAATCACTCTATTTTCCCTGGCAATCCACCAAATTTTAGGCGATTTGTAGATTGCTGTACGACAAGATTGACATGTGTGTGGTACCGAGCAATCATCTACCGTGATATTCTCCCTGCACATGCCCACTGAAGTATGACTCGAGTCACCTGGTTTAGTATTATAATCTTGATCATTTCCTTTTGTTACTGTATATAATAGGCCTACAGCTGCTGTTAATTCATTCTCAATATTTAATGCTACTGTATATTGTTGTTATTGTTCTGTAAATCTATTCCTGGAAAAATAGTAAGTTCAATACTCACACTGATCAACAAACTCTGATTTGATCCTCACATGATATCGCCTGATTGATTGCTGGAGTAAAAAAATATGTTTCGACTGGTGATATGATTGCTGGTAAGGTAATCTAATCGCTCATCGACGGGTGACCAAATCGCCTAATGTTGTGAGGGCTTTAGGTGAAGATATTAAAAACTTATTTTATAAACAATGTCTGGTTATCTGTCTATTTTTATGTGTATTTTACACCCTTTAACTTGTGCCCTTGAACTTTTGAACCCCTTAAATGATTGACTTACAACTTGGTACAATAGGATCTGTCTGCAAACAAAGTAGAACAGATTTCTACTTTGTAACAATAAAAAATGGCAGCCACTTGAAAAATAATCCATCTTAAATGTTTTTAAAACGAGTGAGTTTTGAGTATGCAAAAAATATGAATAGAATTCTGGAAGAGCTAAATGTTCCCATGCTGGAACAAATGTATTTTTAAAAAGTCATAAAAATATGAACCTATCAAAATTCAAGAAAATTGAAAATTCTAAAAGAGTATATAATAAATCTAGCATTATATTCTTTTGATGAGTTTTCCACGTCGCAGAGATAGAAATAGTATTTTTATTTTATGTATTCACTGTACCACCAATGTACATGGTTTATGATGAATAAAGATGTTTGAATATGAATATATAAATATACTATTTTTTTTGTGACCATACATCACCAGATCTGCTACCTGACCAGCCTAACAACGGGAACAAATTAAAACATCATCAAAATCACATAAATTGTATGTACTATATTTGTGCGTGTGTGTTTAGTACTCTAATACTATAGGAATTTTTAGCACAAATAATTTAGTAAGATAACTTATTAATTGAGGAGTGGAAGTAAACATGATTAAGTTAAAAGCGATTTAATCTGACTTAGAACTTACTTATCCTAATCAATGTCTAATAAGGCCTCGTATGCTTGACACAGCTTCTTTACCCTTGTCTGCCACTCCAGATATGACATCCTTTCCTTTGTCAGCTGTTCCTGACACAAGGTCCTTGCCTTTGCCTGCTACTGTCTTAACTCCTTCTGCTACTCCTTCCACTACTCCATCAACAATGTCTGTCGCCCTGTAAACAGAAATGTTGAATAACAATCGTCAAAGAATTTTAATTGTTTATCTTTTATGAAAATTAATTGTTTCAACGGGTTGCATAAGCATTTTGAACTCTGAAGGGTGTAACTAAACACCATGTAGCCATGACTCGGTACTATACGATTGCAAAACATTAAATAAAGTTTAAATGAGGACAATTTTAAAGTCTTGTATTACTGAAGATATATCCTGTGTAGTATTTTTTTAAATACCAAAGTTGATGAGTGTTCCGTTACAGCTAATGCCGACTAGTAAACCTGCTTACACTAGGAAATTTTATTTTGAGTATTGGATTGGTCAAATAGAAGATTTATTGTTACAACTAGGATGTGTAGTGTATAAATAATTAAAGTAAATGAGCTTAAGTAATACTAACAACCCATTTTTATCAATTTTAAAACTTACGCGGTTGTCACCTCTCCTATAGTTTCACAAATCTCTCGTAACATTCGGCTGTTTACTTTTGGATCAGTTTCTAAAAAAGAAAACAACAGTGAAAAGAAAACATTTTTTCACAAATTTTACCTATGATTTAGTAGTAAAAATACATTTTTTGAAAAAAGTAAAGGTCAATATGGTATCAAATTAGTCCTAAAGGTTGTAAAACTAAAAGACAAGAGGATTCAAGAGCTATAATTACGTAGGAAGTGCCATTTGTTAATATAAAGGTGTGTTTTAGTCAGTTTTAGAATAAAAATATATGTTGTTGAATTGAGTCACTGACAGATTGTGTTGACAATAATTATTATTGATTTTGTTGAACACAAACTCTTGATAACTACCTTTAACAACAACTTAAATTTGAATTTACCATAAAATGTCATAGTATCAAAACCTGAAGGAGTAAACCCGATTTGACAGCAGCACACTCCCTGAGTGGCTCAATCAACTTGTTCTATTTGAATCAAAATTGGCTCAATTTGGTCAATTAATACATCTGGATGGAACGTCTATTTCAATTGTTAATATCTAAAGTCAATTTTTACTGACCACAGTAAGGGTAGTTGTTGCTGGTAGTTGCAGCAAACACCCCTCTAGCAGTGTAGTCCGGAGTGTCTAGTCCCAGGGGAATACAGACCTTGGCATCACATTTCTGGACCCGGGAGAACAACGGGTCAATATAACCCAGGGTCACTCCACTGAACAACAAACAGTTAACTATTATTGAATGGAAAACCAAGTTTTTTTGTAATAGTAGAATTCAGCAAAGCTTACCTGTGAAGTCACAAAACATAACAATAATATTTTGTCCCAATTTAGCAACTTCTTTGGAGTGTATATTGAAGGGAGAAGTATTTTTTTGATAATTCAAAATATTCCATCTGTAATAACAAGGCATGTTTGATGTTGCACATTAATGGTGTACCTGCCACAGTAATCCTTTTTTTGCAGCAGGAGCAACTAGTTTCGGTTCTCAGATGGACCCATCATATCAGGCTTCTGTTTTTCATGTGTTTGTGTTACCAAACTCTACTGACAACCTTCTAATGAAGCGATTGATTTGACTCATCGGCGGCCTCATGATTGTTCTTTATAAGAACCAAAACCAGTTGCCCCTATAGCAACAGAGGATTGATTACGTAATGCAGGACACAGTACGGTAATCAAGCTAAATTTTTTTTTAAATGCAAACAAAAACCGATCAATAAGTCATCTTAATATTTTGTAGGGTTGATGTGACAGGTTGTATAACTGGCATTAAAGGGTTGAACAATTAAAGATATCAAAATTATCCAATACAAATCATTACTGACTTGAGAAGATGCCTGGTAACGCCGGCCAATTTACACCAGATTGTGCAGTCGTCCTGCAGAACATTGGTGAAGTACTCGTACGATCGTCCATGAGAGCAAGCCACAAGCTTGCCGATAACTGTGGAAAGTTGATGAGTAAGAAAAAGAATTCTCAGGGTTGGGTCAGTATGTTTGCGAACTTATTCAAATTGATTTGGTTACTTTATTGTTGATTCAAATTTCATTGAAATAATAGAATTTTTTAAAGAGCCATCTTGTCTACAGACACATTCATAACATTTTTATGGGAAAACAGAACAGAAGTTTTATTTTGGAAGACCTGTATTGGCTTATAGAACTTAAATAAAACAAACAAGGAGTAAGGAGACAAACATCAAACAATATAAATTATTGTACCATTCCTGGACCTTGTCTCAGCAGGGCAACTTCAAAAAACGTTATTCTCTATTACTTTTAAACATTGTTTAATAATAGTGTTGTTTTCACTATTTACATGAGTTGTGAACACTACATTACCTAGGACAGTGTTTTAATTACTGAACATTACTACTCATAACTTCTAAGAGAGGTTATTATGTTTATACCTCTCATTGCCATTGACAGTGATGCAACAAACATTGTAACAAACACTAATTGTGCCACTCAACAATTAAATTGGCCTGAACAGCTGATTATTTGAAGTTCAAATCATTAAAATTTTACTTCTTCTTTCTGAATCCTTGAACCTTATTGGTCCGTTAACTTAAGTAAAACTATGCTGTTATGAAAGTAAACAATAATGCTGTTATGTGAAACTTTTCGATTCTAAGAACTGAACTGAAATGGCTACTTTAAAAACGGTTGTAGGTAAAAAATATAATTTTTTTGCTAACTTGTTATAATGGTTATATTATATTTCAATACAAAAGGAACAGCTGGCTACTTTCATTTGAAAGGGAGCTTAGCAAGATTGACAGGTCACTTACATTCAACAGGGAACTTTGCAAGGTCCTTGATGCTCTTGATCTCAGTGAAGTCTGGCAACTGACATCCAGGTTGTCGGAGACCTCCGTTCAAGTAAATGTCTACGTGACCTGGTTCAGATATTCATGTTGGTTATGAGAAATGTATTCTTTGATAATACAGTATATACAAATTAAATTCAGTGTAAAGTTATAAGAGTTCTTCATTTCATGTGCTCATAGAATTCTATAATATTCTTAGCTCTCATACACATCTAAGAAGATTAATTGACCCTGCTCATAGGTCAAGTCAAATATTGTGCTCTTAAAGTAAAATGTAAAAGCTATGTAATGTTAAATTTCTAAATTGAACGAAGTAGACTATTCCTATGTATCAGGATGTTGCAATTTGCAATCATAATTATTGATTTTAATTTCTTTTTACTCCATTTATTAAGCAATACTACCAGGAAAAAAATCCATAATGAAGCTAAAAATTATACAATATGGAGCTAAAAGAGAAAGAACTTTCAATCATCTGTATCTTTTTTGAAATGAATAATGCAGTGATGATGTTGCTAAAGATACTTACCAACAGGAAAAATTAGTCCGAACCCCAACAAGGGTATGAAGGGGGCTGCGTTGGTGTGCAGAACTTCCACATAGTTAGCGTCTTCTTTGTCTAGCCGAACCGTCTTGTCTGTTCCTTCAAAGCCTGGCTGTGCTGGGTCCATGGCTGTCAAATAGACAGCATTCATTTTCTGATGTTGAATACACTTTAATTTGATCTTTGAGGATATTGAACAAGATACGAAAATTCCTCTTAACGAATAAAAAACAGTGATGTCTCAATACTCTAAATAAATAGAAGGGAAGATCAATAACAATAGTGTAACATAATTCAAGTCACTATCTGTCATGATATAATCTTATGGGACAGCAAATCACCTAGAAGTGTATTTAAACTGAATATGAATGTGAGATGGGTGCAGAATGGAGTGAATAATCTGTGTAGTTTTGTTTTGTTACATGTATCAGCTGCTGATTTCTGTGTCAGGACTATTTACTAACAAGCCCAATGATCAAGGACACCCAGGTCCAGTTTCAAACCATCATAGTCCTACTGACTTTTCTCAGGATTGAACCGGTAACTTGCTTCGTATTGTTAGGCGAGCGATATGTCCACTCAACTACCAAGCCATTAAACCATCTACGGTATGGAAATGTGTATCGTTAAGTCTTAACAGTGTTACATTACCTGTAAGCCGCTCAATGCCGGGCACAGCTTTGGCTGCATAGGAACAGATGTGAGCTCCCAAACTGTGGCCCATGAGATGAACATCTCCAGAATCCAATCCCTTGTTTTTAATCAGCCACTTTAGGAATCTGGATTGAAAACATATGATTAAAAATTAGTTAAGTTTTGATAATGGACTAACTGACTGATAGGATTAATTTTGAGATTTCGAGTAAGGAATTCTAACAAGAATCAGGTATTTTTTTTAGAACAATGCTGCATCTAGTTGATTAGATTTTTATGACGTTGACACACCGGAGTAGGGTGTTTAAGGTGAAGATAACTGATGGAAAAGTGTTGAATGGATTAATACAGTAGCTGTCTTACTGACTAAGCAGATCATTTGGTTATTTAGCTGATAATTTTATTAAAAGCCTACTGGTCAAGAACAGCTCGGTCCAGTTTTGAACCACCAAAAAGATTGTAGCTTTTCCCAGGATCAAACTAGAACCTTTGAAAATGTCTTAGAATAAAAGAAATAAAAAAACACTAACCAACTATCATTTAATTTTATTTTTCTCAATTCAGTTTGTATTTCTTTTGGGATGAAATAAAAAATGGGGTACTGTAGGGTATTTAGGTATGAAATACTGTATAACCCACCTTGCTACTTCAGCACCCACTATTCTTGTGTTGGAGGCGACCTGCAGATAGTTCAGTAACTCTGCCCCTGAGCCCCAGTCAACGAGAAACACATTCACGTCTTTCTGAAAACATTAATTATGATAAAAGTATTTGTACTGAAAACAATACTATACAACTAAACAAAAATCAGACTTTATTCACAATCACATGTAATTACATTTTTTACTCACCATTTTCAAATAGTTATCCTTGAGATCTGCCAACCAAGAGTTGTTGCCGTTGCTGGCAAACCCGTGAACAACAAAGGCAGTTTTACGACAAGGGTTGAAGTTGCATCCCTCAAGATCTATCTCTGGCCATAGAGTAATGTTGTACCTCTCTGGAGACTCTCTGGAAATAATTCAAAGTTTTTAATTTGGTTACAATTTGTTTCTTTTAACACTAAATTTGTAAAAAAAGTACAATTCTTCATATTCCACAATTAAATCCAAACAAAACACACTAAACAGTTATATTTTTGACAGGTACGTATTTTAATAATTTAGTCCCGAATCTAAATCACGTGCCAATAACTTGACAATTAAAAAACGGCCACATCAGGTTTACCTTTTTGCAGTAAATATAAATACTTGGTAAGTAATATTTTATAGAGAAAGGTTTGGAAAATTTGTTGGAAATTAATTTATTTGATGACATTGTGGCAAATAGATTGAATTAGGATTAACTTTTATTATTTAGCTACAAACTCTAATTTTATTCGCCCCCTTTTACAAAACTAAAATATGCAGTCACCATATTATTTATACCATATTGAGGAAGATACCAAACTGTAGTTTAAAAATATATACAGGGTTATTACAAATGTTGTTCCTGATTTTAATTATAAATATTACTGGTTTAATTTGTTTCAAGACTATTTTAGTTGGTACCATTGGAAAGAAAAACTCATAAAGTTTCATTTACATTGGTTTGGGTGCATATCAGCTGTTTGTCAAGTCAATTGTTGTAAGTGTTGTGTAATGGCTGAATTTGAAGGCAGGAAAGCTTTTTGCCAGTTGGAATATTACATTAACCAATCTGTTATTAGTGTGAGACGACACTTAAGAACCAGGTTTAACGATTATCCTCCTAGTAACCACTATATTGTCAAGTGACACTTGAAATTTATGAGAAATGGCTGCATTTGAATGTTATTTGTAGTAGGGCTGAACTTAACAATGTGCTGCCTGAGATATGGAACGAGCTCGGTGGTCCGAATAATGACACACCCCTGAACTGGCCTACAAGATCTCCGGACATCACCCCCTGTATTTTTTTCTTGTGGGGATACATCAAAGATAAGGCGTACACACCACCATTATCAGATAGCATACTTGAGATCCAGCAACGGATTATCAATGCTATCGAAACAATAGACCTAGACACACTTTTCAAAGTCTAGCAAGAGCTTGACTACATTATTGACATCTGTCGTACCACAAGGGGTTCCCGTATCGAGCATTTGTAGTTCTGTGTATCTGTGTCGAAACTTTTTGAGTTTTTTAAAAGTTGTAACCATTTTAATTCTTTGTACAACAAATAAAACTATAGTTTATGTATGTATGAAATCATGAACATCATTTGTAATAACCCTGTATATAAAAAAAAACACATTAAATAATGCACCTCAGAGAAATCTCCTCGGTCTGTTGATTTGCTATAACCATAAAGAAGGTATTAATAGAAAATATTGATTATGAAAATTACTATAAAAGTTGTCTAATATTGACCTTGAAAGTTAATTAACATTAAGTTGGCTGTTTGGAATTCAGTCTGTTTAAGTTCCTAAGCTCCTATTATAGAAATGGTTCAGAAATATTTTCCACTAAGCCAAAGGTTTTTGCTTAAACATTAAATTGATAAATTAAAAAAAAAATAGTTCAAAGTAATATGTCATTTTTACGGTATAAAACAATTAAATATTTTTTTCAAAAATGTTTGGATATTTAATCATATCTAATGTAAGTATAATGTGTTGCATGACAGTAAATATTGGCAAAAACTACATCATGCACCCCTATTTACTATCATAAGACTGGCTTTGATAATGTATTAATGGCCAGGGCTAAAGAAAACAGCTGTTCTTAAACAGTAATAAATGGAATACAAGCTTTACACCATATTATCCTCCTCTAATACAAGAACTCGGAGGCCCAAAGACCACAGTCCTGGCCTCCGAAACTCATCTGGTTATTCAATGTTTATGTTTACATGTTTGTTATCACTATTATTACCATCACAATAGACTGCCAAATTGAATAATAATTCTTTAAGCAAATGAATGATAGACATATTATTCTTATTCTCACCTTGTGTAACAGTAGAGACGAACGTTTATCTCTGCTGGATGGAGGGGGGAGGGTAAAGGACGTAGCAAACTTGTCCATGGCTTGTCCATAGGAAAACATCCAAGCTCATCATAACATGATGTCTCGTTGCCCTGGCCTGATAAATAATGTTCTAATTATAATTTGCCTGACAAAAATCATGTTCAGTGTTATGTGAACAATTTAAATCGTTACTAAGTTTAGTAGACATAAACATGTATTAAAAAAATATTGTACCTAACAATAAAGATGGATCAAAATTCAAAATATTCTCATGTAAATTTGTTATCTTTATCTATATGTAACGGCTGAAGACATTTCCTTCCTGTAAGCAGGTGTGGCTTTAATAAATTGGCCCAGGGGGTTTAGGTTTTTTGGGGGCACAAGGAAGAGAAACCCCTCCCACAAGGAGAGGGGTTGAATTATCTCTCGAGTGTATGGCACACGCAAACCGCAAGCCTGCCTGAAAGTGTAGAACTTATTTTTATTTACTTTTTATTTTGTTTCTTGTTATTTATTACAACAAACTTTAAAACTACCTACGCTTTAAATAAAACACTACATTATAAAACCATTGTCCCGGTATTATAACAAAAAATAATAATGACTGTCACAAAATTTAAGAAAAAATGTCAACCAATTATTTTCTCTAACTTATTTTATTATTTCTATATCTCTAATACCATGCATCAGTGTTAAATATTTTATACACATATCTCAAACATAGTTAAAGATTCATCATTATTAAAGTCACTCTTTCGCATGGTTACGTATAACAATTCGCATATCCTCTTGGCAGTTGTTTTGCATGTCTAATTTGATTTCCCTGTGTGCAAGTTAAACAAAGTGTAGACAATCTAATTTAAATTCCAAGGATAAAGTGAATACGTATGTAATCAATAGTTGAGATTTTCTCTTTAATTCATATCAGGTTGGTTGTGTTTTAATGCTGATTTCATTTCAAATTCAAGGTTGATCTTGATAGTTCTTGGAATGTGCAGAGTTTATATGTCGAGATAGATAAATATTGTCTATCCGTACTTTAATTCAGTATTCTACTGCAATAAATCTTTACTTCTAGCAAGGAAGCTACAGGGTTTGAACTGTTCCTTTCTAATTATAAAATGTTTCCTTTCTAAGCAAAATAATTAACCGAGTGGTTATAGTACTTGTTTTTTAATCTAAAGGTCGCTGTTTCAATTCCAAGCAAGATTGTTACCGGATTGGCAAGAATTGTTGGAATGGCAGATGCCATTCGTCATTGGTCTATCAATTAATAATGTTTTCTAAAATCAGGTTGATGCTGAATACTAACAAGAACACTGTTTTGGACCATTCCCTAAGAAAAAACGTAAACGTGCCACTGGCATAAATAGGCACAAAAGGAAACACTGAGAATAAAGTGGGAGACGAAACGTTTTTAAAACATATTTTTAACAAACAATATGAAATATAACTGTAGTTATGTATTTTTACCCTTCTTGTTCCTCTCTAACAAAACTATTGTTTTCAATTACTATACAACAAAATATGGGTGTGTGCCTTTGAGTTGTATATTAATGTAAAGTGAGTGTAGAATGGAGTAGTTGTAACTCTAGTCTAGAGCTACTGACTATAATATCAGCTGTTTCTTTAGCCAAGTGATGAAGAAAAACTGGGAAACCGTCTATTGAGGTAACAAATTAGATGTGGAGGTGGATGAGTTAACCAATAATGAAAATAATCCAATCACCATAATTCTTGGAGAGACATTGCTGCAGTAGGACAGCTCTGGAGGAGTGTTCTAGTCCATTGGGTATCACACACTTGGCAGCTCTCATAACAGAGATACCTGAACAGACATAGAGTATAAACATGAGACCTTACGTAGAGTTTTATATCTCACAAATTTATTATTCCCTTATAAAACCCTTTTTATTTTTTTAAGTTAAACAATTATTTGGTTAGATAACTAAAAATCCGTTGACATTCATCCATTGTTGGATGGAATAATTTTTCACACTGGTAATCAGGTCTGAAAATAAAATTTGTATATTACCACTAGGCCAAAATAGATGCAGATTTCTCAATATGACTTTTTTTGCCCCACTTTCTCATCCTAAAACCAAAAGGTTTTACCCCAGAACTTCAGGCTAGTCCTAGAGTGTAGAGGGATTATCACACAGATCAAAAGCATCGGTGATTGGTGGGACCTCGGACTCCTAATCCTAAAGTGGTGAAACCCCGCTCTACCACTAGACCAGCTCAGGAGCTCGCTTCCCTGTCGACATTAGCTCTCAAATTAAAGATACAAAATTTACATTTTTATACAGATAAAAAGTTTTAAAATCATGGGAACTGGGGTGAATAATATTTTGCCTATTATTTTGTAGAGGTGCCTTTGTTCTTGATATGTTTTAAGTTTATATCACTAATGCGCATTGTGATATAAACATAGAACATCAAGAACAAAGGCTCATCTACAAAATAATAGGTAAATTACATTAAATGTTCTTGAAACTGGGTAGAATAACTAACTTTGAATAATATTGATTTGAGCCCCAGGGATCATCTGATATAACTATGCAGATTTCTATAATTTCTCTTATATTAGTATGAACACACAAAAATTCAAATTATTTTACAGAAAAAAAGTTAAAGCCTTGTCTTTTAGCAAAATGTCTTTTTTGACAAACAATTATTAATTCCTGTCTTCCAGCTGAGTTGTCCACCATTTATAGTTGGGCAACTCCCACCATATTCTGCCAAAGACAGCTGAGCTCCTCATGACACCATATTTTACTGAGATTCAGAGGTATAGTGGTGTAGTGGATTGGGAACGTGTAGGAGTGGCATTCCCTTTCGGCTGTTTCCAATAGTCCTATTTGTTAGTAAGTTTGTTAGACAAAATGACCGTTTTTTGTATAGTCGCCATTTCAATAAAAAGTATTTAAAGTAAGTTCCCACACTGGACATTTTACGACTACACCACTGTTGAGATTGGATTTGAACTCTCGATCCAGAGAGCTTCCTCTTGGCTAGTGAAGGAACAACTTTCACCACCTGGCCTCAGATACGACCTCACCGCACTGGAAATACGTAAACCAAACACCAAAGCAAATAATTGTTATAAGTTTGAACCTCAGATTGTACCACGCATTTCAATTACAGTTTTCAGCCGTTTTTGTTAAGTAATGGCATATAGTAGTTGTAGGTTTGCCATGTTTATATTATTATAGATGGCCGATAACTTGTATAAGACTGAAACACCTTTATTGTTTGAAAATTAATTTTCCGATGTTACTTTTTGATTTATTTCATAAACAAATTGAAGAATTAATTAATGAGAATTATTAATGAGATTTTTTATCTATGGAAGGATGATCAAATTTTCACTCACCGTTTGCCCAGTGCATTAGTAACAGCAGCACAATCAGCGGTGTGATGGTGGCAATATTATACCTACCCATAGCTCCTCCGTTGTCTATGGTGCTAGAATCATACAGACAGAAAATATCACATATTTGGCTTATAATCACACACACTTTTTTATCAGCACGATCAACCCATGGGAAAATACATATAACGTATTATTATCCACGCATGTGCGTATAGTTTTGTTTTGTTCAACCTTGATTTATTTGGCTGCTCTACTAGTAATTATGTTCGATGATAGATAGTTGCAGAAGGCTAAAACTAAAACCATGAGTACAGTAAATATTTCGGCTATTGTAAAAACTGAAATAGGCTAATCAGTAATTTGTGTTTGTCTCATGCATGACCAGAATCTAAATTTACCATGAAGTTGACATTTGACAAACTTTTGAATGTTGACTCCTCAATAGTTTCTTATTGTGCCATTGGTAAATGCATATTCTTATTTTATAAATCAAATACAGTTTAAAACAATAATAATAAAAATAATACATTTTTTATAAGATTTAAAAGTGTAATTTTTGTTCAACATGATTGCTCCCATTAAAAATACAATTTCATACAAAATATTCAATACCCCCACCGTGGCAAACCTGCAGACTAAGCAAATTTCCATTTGCCTGATCGGATTTACACTAAAATGTCTCTGTTCAACCTCTATGGTTATTTAACTATTATTTAACCATATGTTTTTTATTTTAACATTTTTGTCTAGAATGGGTCTCTATTACCTTAACATACATACCAGGTTTCATAATGATCGGTTGAAAAACTTTAAAGATAAAAATGTTAATGTGGAAAAAAAAATGGCAAATATCTGGTTAACGAAGCGATTTTGGAAAAATGATATTCTAGATTTTCTCTTTATTTTGACCCATAGAACCATTTCCCGGAGTTTGGCTGTTTACTTACGGGACACCCTGTATATATGAATCTGAACGGATGGTGTTTTTGGCCTCTAGGGACCTCAAAACGAAAAAGTAAATCGGTCCTGGGTCTTACCATGAGTATTACCATAAGTAATAGCTTTTCCCTATATGGGAAGTTCCCTAAAAGGAACTTACAGTAGGCCTACAAAAAACATATGTTTGATATTTAACACACAATACATTTTGCATCATGAAAGTAATGACGTTTAAATTTTCCAAAAATATTCATGCAAATTAAAATGAAAGTCCTAATGTTGTAGTACATAATTTTTTTAGCCTATTAGAATTGCTCCAAGAAGGTTTTACAAACACAGAAATCAAGTTATTGGTAGAAAAATCGTAATTTGGGAAACTTATAACATTTTTTAACCTTGAGCAAAGAGTTCATCAGTAATTATTGTGTCAGTGATAGAACTGGTTTAGATTGTTATCCAATAATGATTATCACTCCAAACTTTCAAATAATTTATCTTTCATTTTTTAAGTTTTTTTTTTATTTCCTTATAGTTTCTTAAAAAACACTTAAACTTAGAATCTTTAAATTTGGTAAGGTACAGTGTTTAAAAACACATAAGAACAGATAGGCGGATAAACTAGGCATGGGAGACTCATGGTTACTGTATATTGCAAAATATGTTTGTCTCTACGCAAGGAACAATCCCACAAAAGCGGTACAGGTAGTTTAGGGCACCCTGTATACCTAAAAAGTTACTGATGAATATTACACCAAGGAAATAAGCAAAATTATTGGTAATTTATTGTCAGTTTATAGCTGTCCATAACTTTTTCAACCAGATCTTACCAAAATTTTGATGAATCTCACAGAGTAATTTATAACGACAGTTTATAGTAAAACTTAAGAACAGTATTAATTTATGATAAGATAAAGGTTTGTTACAAAATCAAACTTAAGCGGATTATAAAAAAAAAATTATGTAAATATAACAAACGTAATAAATCTAAAATAGTTTTAAAATATTTATAATTTTAAATTAATATTTAAAACTAACATAATTAAATACAACTTAAATAAATGAAAAATATTACTGCCAATAATGCATCAAGGTTCACCATTTGCAAGACAATAGTTATAATATGAGTCTCATTAACTGTATAATAATCTCGCTTTTAATGCTACCGATCAACCGTTTATTTGATAAAATTTAATGGAAGTAATATTAATTAAATATGTGATGGAAGTAGACAAACCTTGCCAGTTTAACCTTGTAGACAGAAAGACGGCCAGACTCAGACTGAACCTAGACTCTAAGCTCAAGGCATTCAAGGTGGTTTTAGCAAACAAAGCATTAACTACTGTTAGGTCGTGGGAATACCCCTATTTGTGTTTACAATGAAAAAATCACAATTTTTCAACCATCCAGAAATAAGCTAATTTTGGAGCATTCTTTTTTTATCTAGCAGGAAATGACAGTTAACCACTGAGCAGTTTTGGATTTTTAACACTGACATCTACATAGTGAAAGAGAAAAAAATACTAATAAAATGCTGGAAGCTGGAGTTTTAGACTTAGGATCTGGTCAATCCATACCAACTTAACCTGCAACCAACAAAAATATTATCTAACAGAACAGCAGAATTGGAGGTGCAGTGTATCAGCTGATCTGCTTATCAGCTGACCTCTGTACAGTACTATCTATGCTGCTGAACTTGAATATACCTTCTCTGTTCTTTTGCTTAGCTTCTCTAACATAATTTTTATACTACTAACAGTGGAATTAATATGTTTTAGCGAGATGAAATTATGGTTTAAACTACAAGACATTTTGATTTATAATGGCCTTCCCATAATATATGTCATCGGTTTTCAATAAAACCATGATCATAAACATAAACACATAACGTAACTAGCCCGAATCATATATTAATTGCATTAACATATTAATGATTTGGATAGTTCTATCATGGTTCTATTCAAGTATTGTTAAAATCATGTTTACTTTCAGATGATCCATACAGTTTTCTGTTCAAATATTTGTGAATAAAACTAATGATGAAAAATGTACAATGATCTGAAACATAATGATACAAAACGGTTAATATTAATAAAAAAAAATTAATAAAATACAAAATACTTAGAACAAAATTAATTTTTTAATGCTTTGGTCTTATTTTGGTTAAGATTTTAAAAGAATGCATATCTTGTAGTCTACCATATACGTTAGCACAATTTAAAAAATGTATAGTAATACCTAATACCTTATGACGATGCACTATATTCAACGAATATGTTAATAAAGAATACCTATTGTCTATTACCGAAACTATAATTTTCAAACCATTTTTCATTATTAAAAATTAGAGTTCTACATCTTATTTTCTTTTTAAAGAAGCTCTTTATTCTTAATTCCCCTCCATGGTTTGTCTTAAGTTCTACTGCTTAGTAAAGTGTATGCCAGGAAACAGAACAACAAAGGCAGGAAAACAAGAATCACAGATCTAAACTTGTTGATCTTGACATACAGCAGGAACTTGTCAACTCATCAGATGATCTTCCAACAGGGAACTTGTAGATAGCATTGTGGTTATTCATGTTAATATACGACAGCAGACCAGTTTGTTTACCATTCTGGTAATGGAAATAACATTTAAGACTTTATTATTGTATGGATTTTTTGTCTCACCTTAACATCCTAGGACGCTAAGTTCAAGCCTGGAACTGTTTTACACATTACTTCAGGCTAGTCCTAGAGGGTCACGGCATTATCACATAGATAAAATCCATTGGTTATTGGCGTACTTGGAACTCGCTAGCTTTGAACCTCGGGTACTAAAAGCTCCGCTCTCTACTACTAGACCAGCTCGCTCCCTATTGTATGGCCTATTGTGGAGAGAGATCTGTAATAATGATAAAGATCTCTTTGCCTGAGTCCTATACCATATTTTACTGTACCATAGTACAGCTCACAATGGGTTCTGAACTACTGGGTTGCTAAAAACTATTGATGATTGGAGGATTAGATCACATACCTGTAAGGATAGAAGTCTAGTGTTCTAATTCTCGTACAATGTTTTAGATACCGATACTAAAAGAAATGGTAGAACTTTTGCAAAACATACAAAATAAATTTCCAACATTTGGAGAAATTTTAAAGCAGAGTTGGATAAAGATGTTTTTTTGTTTTTACTTTCTCCCCCTATACCATAGTATATGGAGAAAGTATTGTTTTCGTCAAAATTTTCGAGTTTGAGTTTTGAGTGGATATATTCGTTTTGGGTCCCCCTGGACCCAAAAAAGTGGTTTTTGAAGTGATGTCTGTGTGTGTGTGTGTGTGTGTGTGTGTGTGTCTGTGTGTCTAGATGTGTACAGAGCTAGGGACTACACCTGTGGTCCGATTTCGATGAAATTTGGTATGTAGGTTCTAATCCGTAGTATCTCCAGGCGTTTTTTTCATTTTTTTGAAATTTTGACTATTTATGGGGATTTTCCCATAAAAACCCATAAAAAACTGGAAAAATCGGATTTTCTCAAAAATGGCCCGAACGATTTTGATAAAAATTTAGTATGTTGTAGCCCTTTAAATTCTGAACAAAATGGTACAAATCCCATTTCTGTAAAAATTACGGTTCAAAAGTTATTGTAAATTATGTTATTTTCCCATAAAACCCCCATAAAATAACAAAAAATAGGATTTTAGACAAAAATCCGGTTTTGATTTAACAGATTATGTTATGATCCTTACAATTTTGATAGTTTTTGTCATTTTTTAGAAAATTTTATTTTTAATGGGGGTTTTCCCATAAAACCCTATAAAAAAACTGGAAAAATAGGATTTTCTCAAAAATGGCATGAACGATTTTGATAAAAATTTAGTATGTTATAGTCCTTTATAGTCTAAACAAAATGATACATATCCCATTTCTGTAAAAATTACAGTTCAAAAGTTATGGTAAATTATGTTATTTTCCCATAAAAATCCCCATAAAATAACGGAAAATCGGATTTTCCAAAAATTGGCTAGAACGATTTTGATAAAAATTTAGTATGTTATAGTCCTTTAAATTCTGATGAAAATTGTACAAATCCCTTTTCCGTATATTTACTCTCACCGCTTACTCATGAGAAAGGTTGTTGACAATCTTATGGGAGAAAGTATGTGTCAGAATGCTGATACCATTTATTTTTTTTATAAAACAATGTATGAAATTTATTCTATGATTTAAGTTTTCTGTTTGAATAAGTAAGACCTGTGTTTTAAATGATGAGTTTTAATGACTAGGAAATAATTTTAACAAGTTCAATGTGTTGTTGTTGTTGATTTAATTAACAAAATTAAATTTAAAAAAAATTAAAAATTAATTAATTAAAATTTTTTAATTAATTAATTAATTCAAAATTAAAAAAATAAATTAAATTGTTGGTTCATGACTGATTTTAACTGTGTACGTTTTAATTTTTCCAATTATTCAGCTATTAAAATAATTAGGATTGATTATTGTGTACATTTTTGTTTGTTCGACAACAAAAACCGTTTGGATTTGTCTTTATTTTAATTTTACAAAACAATTTTCAAACGGTTTTGGTTTTTTTATGTTTAAAACAACTATGCCTGCTTAAAAGACCTCAATCAATTTCAAGTTGGAAAATTAACTATGTATAGTTATTTTATTTTTTTATCAACCAAACCAAAATTTTTTATTGATAATTCCCTAATACAAATCAATTAATGGTTGGACAAATTGTATAAAATAATAAAATGAAGGCTCAATAGCGCAATGGGGGAATTGCGGCACCATCTTCATGTATACATAATATGAACATACATGTTTACATTATAACACAATAATCTAAGAGGATTATAGTAATATACACTTACCTTATGATCATCCAAGGTAATTTCAAGTTGCAGAACAGAGACCGAAATGAGTCAAATCCATCGAGTTTAACAGTTCTTGATTGCAATCAAACAATCTGCAGTAGGTTGCGCTAAACAATGACAAATGGTCTAACAATTAAACGTCAAGAACATCAAATAAACAATACCTGTGAGTCTACATTGATTACAGCAAACTATACTCTTGCATCCGTTTGAGAGTCAAAAGTGTTAACGTATGTCCATAAATAAAGATATACATTATTTTATAGTTTAATACATATGTATTTCCTTTAACAATTTATTGCCACCCTAGCTTCTGAGAATAATGTTGTTTAGAATAAAAATATAGCCTGATTCCATTTTAGATGACCCAAAGATTCTGCCAACAATTCCTGTTTTTCTTGCAAAAATTTAATCAGTTGTGTAAAATAAAATAAACTTACCCAACCTGCCATGTTAAACTTCCTATCCCAAGCGTAATGTAAACAACTTCTTTACTTCACTCGGTGGAGTAATGAAACCCATTAATAGCTATTTACCTTACAAGTGTAGTAAGAGCGTTTTTGATGTAAACACGCTCTTGCGTAACGTGTAACGTACAAGATTTTACCTGACCCGACAATATACAGGAGGTTACGAACAAAATTTTTCATCATCCATTTCACTCATCTTCTATCAGTAACGTTCATTTACAAACAAAAGCTAGGTTAGGAAAATTCTTCAAAACATAACAATAAAATTCAAGCGCACAGCTGATTTCTAGCGTTGAACGTCGTTGGCTCCATAGAGGTATATTTTTTAAGTTAAGCACTCAATGTTATTTAAATGGGTTTCATTACATCACCGAGTGAGTTTTTTTCAACTTTACATCACTCGAGATGGCTCCATAGAGGTATATTTTTTAAGTTAAGCACTCAATGTTATTTAAATGGGTTTCATTACATCACCGAGTGAGTTTTTTTCAACTTTACATCACTCGAGAAGTAACGAAGTTATATACATCACGCTTGGGATACGGAAGTTTAACATGGCGGGTTAGGTAAAATAACATTGAGTGCTCAACTTAATAAAATATTCCTCTTTGGAGCCAACAGAAATCAGCTGTGCACTTGAATGTTATTGTTATACTTCAAATATTTTCCTAACCTAGCTTTTGTTTGTAAAGGAACGTTATTGTTAGAAGATTAGTCAAATGGATTAATGGATGGTTTGCCTTAAAATATTGTACGTAACCCAATGTATATTGTCGGGTCAGGTAAAATCTTTTAAGTTACACGTTACGCAAGAGCGTGTTTACATCACTTAGGTGATGTAAAAACGCTCTTACTACACTTTGTAACGTAAATAGCTATTGTTTATTTTAAATAAATTCTTGGATCAAGCAATGTGATTGCAGATGTCTGCACAGTTTGTGCGATCAAAAATTCACAATTTCACTGAGATTGCAGAGGATGATCATGATGTCACCACAAAATATCAATAATATTCAACTAATTCCTCTATGGCACCGGTATCAGAGTGATTGGCCTATCACTAATTGGAAACTACATCTGCAAACTTAACCCTCCAGTACACGCGTGGGTAATAGTAACACCATTATACGCGCGCAGACTGGCATTCCGCGTCTTACTTCCTGGAAACGCTCTTTTATATACCTAATAAAGTTCATATAGAATAAAAATTTTAAAAATCCAAATATAGGAAAATAAATATAGATAAATTTCAAAATAATTACAAACATTTCAAATTGAAAATGTCCTGTTGAAAACCAATCAGTCAATCGCTGGCCTGTTCTTTATCCTGTTGAAACATGAAGTGCCTAACTTTCCACCCTCGTAGCTCAGGGCCAACTGACGCTAAAAACACTGCCATTGTCCTTGGAAAATTTCTTTCGCTCGTGGATTCACTTATTTCGGCGCGCTTTTTCAAATCTACGGTCTCTGAGTCGGCGGCGCGTGTACTGGAGGGTTAACAACTCCATCTAGGTTTTTTCATGGTTGGCTAAATTGAAGATTTTCTTGGCTCATTCACATTTTCCACAGTTGTGAGTGTAAATTATTATACGAGTGCTTATAACAAACTGACATAATGACACCACAGACTAGCCAACACAAGTATACTTCTCATCCCATTACAAAATTTGAATCCCTTTCATCATTTCCAGTTCATGTTGGTGACACTGGGGACTAGTGTCGAAAAAATCTTGTTTCTATTATTTTAAAGTTAATTTCATGGCTAGTTCCTTACTGTTTGGTTATATAACTAGGGGACGAGTTATTGCTTATGAATAAATAGTTTTATTTGGTTAAAAAGTTTTAAACAACTGAAATAACAAGAAACAAATTGCAAACAAAAAACTATCCTAGCACCGGAGGGAACCAATAGAAAAATTGTCTTTTAGGTCTGTATTTAAAAACCTAATTATTAATAAGAAAGAATGTTCTGAAATAAAATCACCTTTTATAGTTCTATTTTAATTTATTTTATCAACAATTACATACATGATAAAAAATTAAAAGTTGTAGCATGTACATTTAAAAGCATTTTTTTCAAATTTATACAAATTTACAAATAAAAAACAAATTAAATATTATTTCAAATAATATTTGTTTGGATCTTAATGATTAATTTTTGTACCACAAATTCAAAATAATACATTTATAGTTTGTTAAAATTTGAATAATGATTAAATCAATGGTCATACAAATTAAAATATAAACATTAGTGATAAAATATGTTTTACCACAATTTAAATTAAATGTTCAAAACCAATTTAAATTACAAATGTTCTTATGTTACAATAATTTACATAATATTACTGATCAACATCAGATATTTGTTTTTAGGTGGAACAGGCTAAATCTTAAAAATAAACACTTAATTACATACAATAGTTCATTAATATAAAGCAAAACTGTAAACAAATTCTGGTTAAATGTATCATTTGACAAACCAACAAAAAGCCTATTTACTGACAAAACATTTGAAGAGCAGACAAAAAAGCAACGGCAAAAACTTAGTGTAGCTTGGCATATATTTACCACTTAAAACTGTACATGTAGCCATAGGTTCCTGTGAGCGCAGAAAAAACTACCCCGACCCAAGAAAAACAAATGTGTCTTGCAACCAAACATTGAACTAAAAACTCTAAATAACATTATTATTATAAAGATGCTTCAGAAACATTGAGTATTTTTCATTTAATGACTACGTCATATGGACAATGATTTTTCTATAGAAATATGTAGAAGTTAAACTTCAACAGATAGGTAATGTTGAAATATTAATTTCAACAGACAGAAATGCAAGAGGATTTAACAGTTCAACTGTAAATGCATAAGATATAACAATTAAGAACTAATGTTCAGCGGGTTTATCAATAAATAATAGTTATTTGTGTAACTAGTGGTGAAAGTGGCACTTTGCTGCACACGAGAGCGGCTCGTGCGGAATGATCTCGAGTGCAGCAAAGGCCTTTTTCACTCGTGTTACACATTATATTTTTCCTACAGTCACTTTAAAGCATCTATCTATATATTAATAGTCTATATATTAATAGGCAAGCATGTTTCTTTAAAACCTTTTTTCTCAGCTCGTGTGTATCGTACAGAAAATCTACGCATACCGTTAGAAAGCTATTTTCCTGTAGGTGTGCAGAATCCCTTTATAAACTAAATAGGCACAAAAATAAGCACAAAAAATGAATTTGAAATTTTAAAAAATTAACATGGGTTTTATGGGTTGCTATGGTGATGACGAAATAACAACAAAATATAAACAGAAAATCAAAACAAATGGAAGACATTCCAATCACATGTTTTATTTAGCAGTGTGGGGTGAAAATAGAGAAGTTTGCACAAAACATACTTTTGGTCGATTTTTCGACCACGGGGCGTGCTCTCGTATAAATAATTAGTCTTTCAAACACTATACAACACGTTTTAGGTTCAGCTGGCAACACAAATGGTGCCCTATAGAAAGTAGTACCCGCGGTCCGTATCACTCCGCTATTTTTCCTCGGCAAGAAATGTGCTCTGCGTTTTGAGAATATAGTTCCGTATGTTTTTGTAATTTGACGCGGTTTCCGCGCCTAAAAAAAATGCTTTAAAGGTATTTTATTGTTTATTAAGATCGTAGGAATGTAAAAACGTTTAAAAGAAAAGTCCAGAAAGTTCAGAAATACCGAAACTATAAACACGAAATGACAGGTTAAATTGTAGTTATAATAGTCAATCAGCTGCTCATAGTATTATTATCTTTAAGTGTTGCCAACTTATTTCCAAGCGTACACGGATTACGTGCATAATAGAACCACGCTGTTTTGTGTTGTTTCGTTGGAATCCTGATGTGCGGCAAAGTATAAACCGTACGACAAAGTATAAACCGTACGGCAAAGTATAAATATGCAGCAATTTATAAACAGTACAAGGAAGCCAACTTTGTCGGGTGACTGTAGGAAAAATATATTTTATCCACAGAATAGTTTTTGTTAATAATTGTTGTAATTTAAATTGAATGACTCCTGAGAAAACACATAGAATAACAGTATTCTATATAATTGATCATTAAAGAAAAAACTTCTGAACACGAGGTGATTTTTTTCTATTTTAAATTACCTTTGTTTATTAAGAATTTGTACGTCAATAATTATTTGCATATTTATAAAATGAAAAGTGGTGTTCAATTTCATAGAACAAGTTATAAGTAATTAATTGAGGTAATAAAAAATTCAAGCTCAAAATGAAATAATGTAACAAATTTACCTATGCTGTTTTAAAACTGATAAAGACTATAGATCAAAACTTAATTTTCAAACCTACAATCAATTTAAAAATATTAAATTTAGAATGAAATAAGTCCTTTAAGGAAACCATCAAATTAATGCAGGACAAATAATGCTATTTTAAAATATTTACAAAACCTTGATTCCTTGAACTTGAAATGATCGCTTTAGGAAACAAATTCATGAGATCAAATAAGCTTTTAACCTAAAAGGTGACAATTTTTTAGTGCTTTTCTACTTCCTATACTTGATGTATCTACAACTTATACATTCAAAATTTGAAATTCAGGCTCTATTACATTATTATTTTTTTACAATTACTATTCACAGTGAATAAATTTATAGTATAAGCTATTACAAAGATAAAATGTTTTAAAATTTATTATGTACAACCTGAAGCATGTCAGACACTTTTATTTACAAAATTATATACAATTTAAAATATCGGAGGATAAGAAGCGTTAGCTGCACCGAAATCTTGGACTAGATTGCATAACTTCACACAATTGTAGCACAGCAACCACCATCTTGCTGCCAGCATTTAAACACTCAATGTATTTTATATCCTTAGCCAATAAGTTTACAATACTTGAAACTAAAGTTCCTTTAGTTTTAATAAAGTAAAGTAAATTCTTCATAATAAAATCAAGACTCGTAAAAACAAGACAATATTCAAAGTAATACCGTAATTGAGAAATTTAGTGGCAATAATTTAAATGTATTATAAAAACTGGTGGGCGGATTAAAAACATTATGTTTTATATCAATCAACTGATCAAGAAACAATTGTGATTATCTTTTTACATATTATACAATTAAAGTCATAAAAATATGTACACAGTGTAAAAATATGTACAGTATAAGAATCAGGTTATGGCGAAGATGATATTTGAGCAGACATGAAATATAATATTATGTTAACCCGTTTACATACCAACCATTCTACGCTATTGACTTCAATTGTCATAGTCTGATAAAATAAAAATGAATAATCCTTGTGATTGAGACTAAATAAAATTTAAGGGCTCAACAAAGATAAACAAATATTAAAAATTAACATTTTTTGTTAAAAATTTAAAATACTAAAAATATTATATACAATACTTTCTGTACATTTTATGTACATTTTAAGTCTCAAAGACAGACTTCCTTATAAATAACATAGATTTTAAAATATAAATAAACCCCTCTTAAAACTATTTACAAAGTGCTTGACTGGCAGTCTTAAGTTGCTGGTCCTGAAACAAAATAGTTCAAAGGGGTTATTATAATACAATATGAAACACTAAAATAAAACTGTTCAGGGTAGTTTTATTGTTTATACTAAAAACATGAACTAAAGGACATTGTGTTTTTCTCCACAATCTGGATGGTACAGGACAGAGCTAGATTATAGAGCTGAACAGGGTTCGTGTTCCTTTAAATCGTCTTATTTTCTTATTTGTACAGTTTAAAAGGTATCATTTTCAACACAGATGCCAAAATTGTGACAATTAGGCAGGCTGTTGTCATCACCATATAAATTGTCTGATAAGTTAGTTCACTCTTCATAATGTTGCTGCCGTTGTGGGAGACTATGAACACATCTATGCCATCGTGGAAGACAATCACAATGCCTGCACATTTGTTCTTGATTTTGACAGGATCTTGCATGGGAGTTGACAACTTATTGTAATAAAACCGCTCCTCAAACTTATTTTAAACCACTTTAATGCTAATGCAAACTTATTCAGTTTATTTTAATTTATACATTAAGTTTGAACATTTTTTTTAGTTTTTACTGATAGTAACATGGTATTGTGCAATTTTTCACCTTTTATATACAACATACTTAATGGCAATCAACCAATTGAATTTGAATTTAATAAGTTGGTTTATTTATTATCGGTATATTCATTAATTTGTATTCTTAGTTGACTGTAAAAATCTCACAAAATGTTACGTTTTGAAGAAAATAAAAATGATTACTCAACTCACAACTCAGTATTGAGTGCTTTGATCATCGTCCTCATTAGTACTTCAAAATAATATTCAACTCAAGTAAAACTTGTGTTATTTTAAATCAAAAATATTTGGTTACTGCTACAATGCCCTGAATAATAATAAATCTATGTCAATACTGATGTCCAACAGTAGATCTTATCACTCACCTAATTATCTCTTCCGTCCTTTTGCCTTTTTGTTTGTGACAGCAGAAGATGAGGGCTGTGGACCTCTTTTGCGTCCTAGAAAACACAAAAAATACAGATGCTCGGTAAGAGGCAAAAAAAAAAAAAAAAATGTTTTGTAGTTGGCCGGCAGTTTCAAGCGTAACCAACTGTTACTTACATGCCTTTCTCTAAAAACCCTTTAAACATCATTTCACCATCATTCTCTCCTCCGTACTACCCCTAAGAGTTGAAGCCTTAAGAGTCGCATAGCCCGATTCCGTTTGTCACCGCTCGCACTACATGCTCGCTACTAGATTCCCGGAGTATAGTTTTGTGTGTCTCCTATGGCGTTGTTCTTTTTGTTTGCAATATATTTTTTTATAAATACAGTATATCAAGTAAGATTTGTTATTGGTTAATTGTGCACTCTAATTAATATATATGGTTTTCATAACTTTTTTTGTATTATATATGGATAAAATTACATCGTTTGTCTAATGTTTCAATACCCAGAAAAAAACTCCTTTTGTCACCAATCATATTTTAAATCAAAGACACTCATGAAGTAGTGTTAATAGAATAGAAAGCACACAATATCCAACAGCATTGACTACTATGTACAATATCTGACATTCCATTCCTATGTTAAAGTTGAAGCGAGTTTTGAATAAAAAAGAGAGTAATTGAATTGGGCTGCCGACAGATTACAGCTGATGTAAATTTCTGATTTCTATTAAATACGGCAACTTTTTAACATAGCCATACTAAAGGACAATTTGTTAAAGCCAAAGTACAACTTACTGCGAATAATAGCATTTTTTATGTCATATTATTTATCACAGTAAAAAAACTAAGGGTGGACATATCGTTTTAGACCATAGCACAATCTGTGAGTGGCTTATTAAACTAAGTTCTATTTCAATCAACAATTGGCTACAGATGGTCCTTACAGATGGGATGTTTAGTTTATCCAAAAGTCAGTGCTATTTAAAAGACATCAAAGATTCTCACCACTAGTTTGGGGTGGAGGGGAGGCTGGTTGGACGGGTGGAGGTTCCACGCTTTTCTTTTGCCGACCTTTCCGTTTCTTTGGTTGCGGTTGCGGTTCTGGCTCAGGTTCTTCTTCCTCTTCCTCCTCCTCATCATCCTCTTCTTCAAAGTGAACCCTTTTCCGTCTTTGCCCTTTCTTTGACTTTTTACTCACATCTTTTCAGACAGAACAAGGAAACAGTTACAGAATTGAGAAGACAAATAGACAGTTGAAGGAAAGGTTTATAATAGGAAAAGGAATCAAGACATGGATGGATAAGGAGCTGAGGGAAGGCAATTTATGTGGTTTGAAGAGATAGTTAATTGTGGTTGGTTGAAGATTGGATAAAGAAGTAGAAGTCAGCAGTGAAAAAAGAAGGTAAATAAAAATTGAAAATATAAAGTCAATGAAAGTAAAGAAAACAAACAGAAACTATAAAGTAAATCAGTGAGAAGAAAGACAAACAGCAACAAAAGTAGAAAATCAATGAGAAGAAAGAATAAAACAGTGATTGTAAGAGGCAAATCAAGAAGAAGGAAGAATAAAACAGCACTAGATTGTAAAGTACATGAATTAGGAGAAAGAAGACAGATAATTATAAATAATAAATCAACAAGAAGGAAGACAAAACAGTACATTAATTGAGATAAATGAGCAATAATCATCCTGAGGAAATAGTCAAAGATTAAGCATAGGATCATAAAGTAAAATAAAGTTGAGATAAAGCAACAAAGCAATTGAGTTGGACAGGTTTCAAAAGTTGAAAATAGAAAGGTAAGACATAGATAAAAGAAAAGACAACATTAAAAAAAAAATCTTTTTAAAATTTAGAAACGTTTAAAAACTAATAGTCCTGTACATAGAATGCCTCACTGATTGATGTTCACTGAATGGTCAGTATTTATTTTTATTATTATTCTATAGAATTAAATTAGGATTGGTAAATATAAAAACATGATTAGTGTAAAACTACCATAATATAACATTTAAAATTAAACAAAACCCAATTAAAAAAACAAATTGTTTTGTTTATTAGAGTATATTTTTTAAACTGTAGCAAGATGTTTTGCAATAAAAGTTATTATCCTCATTTTTTTTTAACTTTTAACTGGTGCACACAGTCAACTATTGGCCGAAAGAAATTTTATGTTTAAAGTAATTACATGAAGTAGAGAAAACCGACAGATAAGCAGGAGGAGTTAGGTAATCAGGAAAAACAGGGGCATGAAAAGGGAACAATGTATTATGTTTGGGGAGGGAACAGAAACACAAGAAATCAATCTTACACTAACAATAACAACCAAATATTTTTTTGGTAAGAAAGATATTTACCAAACATTTGAGATTCAAAACTGAATACAAGCTTACATTTTAAAAACAATTTATATGTTCAAGAAATTATTAAAGCATCATAGTGCTTGGTAAAATATTTCTTGCCATTATCAATAATTTCAGTACGAAATAGGACCCAAATAATGTAATCGATGCTGAATGTAAGTCACATGATGATATTATTATAGTGTTAATTAAAACTGGAAAATAAACAAATCTTCCAATTATAACTAACTCTTAAGAGATAAGGATGCAACAGGAAAAGAAGACGAGTATAATCCTTTCAATGCTAAAGGCTGAAATTATCAAAATCAATAATAGTACCATTAAATTTTTCAAAAAGATAAAAATAATTGTTAACTAAGTCCAATGGTATATAGAATCAACTAACAAATGTCTGAAATAGCATTTCACTATATATGCAACTTGCAAAGAATCTGTTCTTTGATTGGGTGTTAATCAATTCTTTTTTTTTTAAGTTTGGCTCTCTCTCACTAGCAATTTCTGCCACAGACAGTGAATTTATTATCGTGTGTTGCACATCAAAGCTACAAACCATGACAGGATAGAATCTATCTAATCGCTGACTCATGATGTCAGCATGTAAGAACACTTTGCCACTAACCTCATAAAAAGTGTATTGACAGCAATTTGCAATGTTTAAAGAATGCTTTGATTGTGGGTGACTTAAAAGTTAGTAAGTTTGATATGTACATCTGTCCATATCGAAAGTTTGAATTTTATTTGGTTATTTTTGTTTTGACGATCTATCAGCCCCAGCAGTGAATGGATTGGACATAAGGAAATGGTGAAAAGGAGTGAATAAGGAAGGTTATATAATTATTTTATAAAGAATAAATAGAAGGATCCACTTTAGACTCGTAACATTGTTCCTTCACAATAAAGAAGGAACTTCCAAAAGAACAATAAGAAATACTTCTCTAATGATGCACAATTGAGACAATCCCAAGAAAACAGGATTTACAGGCAAGTTCAAGTGAACCTGTGAAATGGTCGAAAGAGACTTCTTTCTCACCAAGACACAGAATAATCATTTTGAAGTATCACAAGACACTGGAATGTAAGGTATGTGAAGAACCGAGTTACAAGAACATTTTGACTTGAAGACACTGGAAAAAGGAACACATCAAAATATTTTCAAAGGCACATAAGATTGTTAAATTAATTTGCTGGTGAATTTTCATCCACATAACACCCAGAGCGATAGGTACTCAACTGGACATGAAGTGACAAAATGTAAAAATTCAATAATATTGGGAAAGAAAAATGTCACTCTACAATCATTTGACAAAGAAGTAAAAAGTTTCTCTTGCCACAACACAAGGAATGTTTGAGAATCATTAACCAAAACAGAACATGATGTCATTCTTCTTATTTCAGTGTAAAACAGATGTAGAAGAGAAAGAGTAAGACAGTAAAATAATCTTTAACCATCTTTAAACAGTGAGAAAGAAACATCTTATCCATACTTGCTTGATAATCGTCATGCATAGTAGGAAAACAGCCTGTAGAAGATTTGCATAAAACATACAAGTAGAAATATAATGTATCGATAGTAAACGGGTACAAACAAATTTAGTTTGGTTGCCAACATCATTACTATAACTGATTTTTTTTTGGGGGGGGGGGAGTAAAAATGTTAAGAAGCTTAATGGTCCAACCATAACAATTTTAACTTTTAGTGTAGGTGTTTTCACAATTCTTGGCAAATATTAATATACAATTTAGAAGTTATTATAACTTCAATAAAAAAAATGATCACAACAAAAATAGAAGTGGATTATATGAAACTCAATTATGTTCTTCGTTGTAAAATTACATATAACATTCACACCTGGTTATTTTTTTTGAATACGTATAGACACAAAATATTCAGAACTAGAAAATAGATTTTAACGATCAATAAAAAATTTAGAGAGAGGGATAAGAATAAGTATAGAACTCTTATAAAACTATAAATTAATTAATTGTAAACCACTGTATAAATAATACACTTCCAATATAGAACAAAAAAATAATAATATTAGGAAATGTTTAAAGTTTCAGAAACTCAAGACAAGCTGAAGAATTTTGTCACAACCAAGGAAATGTCGCTGACAAAAATTTGAGCCAGAATATACTGGTATCACCTGATGACGATTGCTTGATGGTCCTAGTAGTTTCTGAAGATGATGTGAAAATAGGTGGTAGAACACCTTAACAACTCACCAATAATCTTTTGAGTGAGGCTTCAAAAGGAATAGGCAAAAGGACTTCGGGAAAGGCGAGGAACTTTTTTTGTACCATATCAATTGTCAACCAATATGCTGCGTTCTACCTACAGCATAAGTCCAAATCAATATGGTACAATGTAATTGTGTGTACCTGAAACAGATCTAAGGTTAATATATCTTGAACTTTCACATAATTTGTTATCAAATTTATGTGCGCAAATCTTATTACAATATATATGTATAGTAACATCCTAGTATTAATTCTTAAATGGAAATAATCTTACCTTTGTTTCAAATTCTTCTTAGGTTTTGGAAAATAAAGATAGATTGAGTATTTTAATAATTTACATGTAGCCTACTTTAGCTAATAAAATTTTTTTTTTATTGAAAAAATATTAAAATTGGGAAAAAGTTACTCAAAAAGTAATTATTTCAATAAAAGGTAATGCAGACGTTATTGAATTCAGATTGAAAAGAGAAACAAATTTTAATTTATTAATTTTCTTTGGGAAAAAATATTATTCAAACCTGTTGTTGAACTATAAAATATAAACTTGTATTGGCAGAATTTTATTTAACTAAAATTCTTTCGATCAAGGCTACAATATGTTTTGATATTTCATATATATATTTATATTCATTTAAGGTTATTCCCCTTTTGCCATCTCATTGATCTTCCTTGGATCTTTTGGTATATTCGTATTTGAGCTATGATAGCTTATTGTTAAAATTCATTAATTCTTCAATTTAATGATGAAACTTGTAGACTTGTTGTTTTGTGAAACTTGTTGTCTCTGGGTGATCTTCAAACGTTGGCGAGGTTGATTCTTCACAACATATGGAATTCTTAACAGTTTCTCTCCAATCTTCCAAATAAAGAGCATAATCCATTACTTTATTCAGCTATATAGAGGATATCCACAATTAAAACTGTTGTAAAGTTAAGAATTAAATGATTTGAAAAAATGCAAATAAAATGTTAGGACGTAACTAATTTTAATGGTTCTCCATAAAATAAAAAATCTCAAATTGGTAAGTTTAGTAAAAATAAAGATCTGAAACATTTAAAGTTGATCTTCAAGGGGAACAATCTTGAATATCCTCAGCAGATGTAACAAACATAGTATCTAATCTTGGATATCTTCAGTATATCTTCAAAATAAATATAGAATATAATCTTGAATATCTTCAGTCTTTAATACATTTTATAGTACATCTTCCAAACATGCAACATAATCTTGAATATCTCTGGATATTTGTTTTTCAAATAACATTTTGAGCATCTTCAGTGTATATTCCATATAAAGAGTACAATCTTGCGAATCTCCTGCGAAGACTGAGACTGTATGTAGGCCTACTGAGGATTTATTTTCCATGTAAATCATTGAAATTTATTAATGTTTAATATTTCAAAACAGTAAAACTGGAAATTTAAAACCTATTCGGGATGTTCCAAAATAAGTCATTTTGACAACAAAATAATTACAGTAATAAAATATTTGATAAATAAAAATGGAAATTGCAGAGATCTATTTTTATTACTGGTCTATTTTTATTGCTATTCAGGATGTTTACTCAGTTAAATATGTGAATTGTCAATTTTAAAAATACTCTTAACTCATAAATTTTTCAGATAATATTTTTACATTGGACAATTGTTTTATGCACTTGTCTCATCTTTCTTTGACAGACATTAAAAACCTACTAGTTTAAAAAACAAATCCAAGTTTTTGTAAACATTTTAATTTATTACAGCTCATCTCATGTGTTGAGTGACTCATTCTTTGAGGAATGAAGAATTAGTTTCATCTTCAAATCAGATTTTATCCTTAGAACTGAAGGTGTGTAGATGTCCACAAGATATCCTTTTCTACATCAACGTTTGTCCCTTCTTCTCTTACTTTGTTTGATCCTTTTTGTCTTTGTTATAAAAATTATTGTGTTCAAGTCATTCTCTTCTTTTGTTCGATCCTTTTTGTCTTTGTTATAAAAATTATTGTGTTAAAGTCATATCATAATCAGTGAAATTGATCATCAAGGTTAATTTAATAGAAAATGCAAAGTACTCATAATTGAAGTTTAAATGCCAATTATAATTTTGCATAGCTTGAAATTTGTACAAAACCAAATTAACTACAGTCAAAAATGTATACAAATGATTACTTTTTAATTTCTGCTGATGAACAATTTTAAAATTGAAAGTAAAAATACAATTAAATACTAGTGTGATTGCCACCACACCAATTAACTGTTTCAATAGGCATGTTTAATTTCAATAATGGTTTCTCGTGAGTTAATAATTTTTGGTAAACATTATTTCCACAAACATTTATCTCATGAAATGAGTAAATAATTTATCATACATACTTCATATATAATTTTTGTAATTCTTAATGTGTGATCTTCACATCACAGCTGTCGTACTTGGGTTTCTTCCTCTTCCAGTATTTTCATTAGGTTAAGACGGATATCCAGATTTAAAAAAATAAGTTTTTTTATTGATATTGATTTCATCATATCTTCTGTGCAAATAAAGTAATTGATCATTCATTTCCAAATACAACTACTTCAGGAAATAGTGAAAATTGACTATTACAATTAAATTTAAAGGCTGGTTAAAAAACAGATATTTGTATGTTTATGTCTCATTCAAATGTTATATTTTTCTTTAGGGAGTTCTTGTGAGGAGTCCTGAAGCCATTAAGCCGTCCAGATATCTTCATGTCTTCCAAAGATTCTTCAAGTTTTCTTATTGTATGATTTCCAATAATTTACTTTACTTAATAATTTATCCATTATTGATATTGATTTCATCATATCTTCTGTGCAAATAAAGTAATGATCATTCATTTCCAAATACAACAACTTCAGGAAATAGTGAAAATTGACTATTACAAATAAATTTAAAGGCTGGTTAAAAACAGCTATTTGTATGTTTATGTCTCATTCAAATGTTATATTTTACTTTAGAGTTCTTGTGAGGAGTCCTGAAGCCATTAAGCCGTCCAGATATCTTCATGTCTTCCAAAGATTCTTCAAGTTTTCTTATTGTATGATTTCCAATAATTTACTTTACTTTTGGTTTTCCTTT